GATCCAGCCTGGTTAAACCCATGATGGATCCAGCCTGGTTAAACCCATGATGGATCCAGCCTGGTTAAACCCATGATGGATCCAGCCTGGTTAAACCCATGATGGATCCAGCCTGGTTAAACCCATGATGGATCGTAGGCAGGCCACTTTGAATGTTTACAACCCTGCGCAGATGTTCGATTGGAGGGGTCCATTGTTTCACAAGCATAGCAAAGGGAGGGCATGACTGTGGCCTCGAAGACCCGAAGCTTCGTGTGGAGCGACAGACCAGGTAGCTGTCAAACCGGAGATAGTCATAAGGGGCCGTCCCATAAATGACGTCACGCGATTTTGGACGATGTTTGACCCCCCCCCTTCGTCACACGACGTCACAAAAAGTCAGGACCCCCCCCCTCAAATATGACGTCACAAAGCTCTGCCCCCCCCCAAAATAAAACATGTTTCAAATCGCTTTAAAATATTGTCATTGTAGTGCGTATTTAATGTGGCGCTGCACTCTGATGTTGTAGGAGAAAACATTTATTAAAAAGTCTAATTAATAAAGTAGAACGTGTTGTCCATATTTATTTAAAGTTGCGAATTTTTACGTGTCGTTACATTTCTCCCCCCCCCTCGTCACACATCGTCATAACTGATTGACCCCCTCTCCCCCTAGGTGCGTGACGTCATTTATGGACGGCCTCTTAGGGCTGAACGAGGAGGTACCGGCGGTGTCAAGATCGGCCTCCGTGGAGGAGGAGGCTCGTGAAGGACGCTGCCGCTGGGCAGTTGGGAGGCAGTCGCCCTGCAGCAACCAGTGGAGGGCAGAGGAGCGACGCTCACAACAACGAGCGGAGCGCCGGGGCGATAAAACGCGCAGAGTCAACTCAGTCAGTCAAACCACGGCACGTGGGTCTGTTCCGTGGCTCTCCTTGCCTTCCACACTTTGCGTGACCTCAAAGTGCACCTAGCCTGGCACAAGCCCCGTGGTGACGTCACCCGCCACTTCGGGGCCGTCCATAAATGACGTCACGCACCTATGGGGGGGGGGGGGGTCAGACATTTGTGACGATGTGTGACGAGGGGGGGGGGGGTTGAGAAATGTGACGTCAACATCAAAATGCGCAACTTTAAATAAATTTAGACAACACGTTCTACTTAATTAAATATACTTTTTAATAAAACATTTTTTATCCTATAACATCAGCGCCACATTAAATACGCACTACAATGACAATAGTTTAAAGCGATTTGAAGCATGTTTTATTTTGGGCGGGGGGGGGCAGAGCTTTGTGACGTCATATTTGAGGGGGGGTCTCTGACTTTTGTGCCGCCGCGTGACGACGGGGGGGGGGGGTCAAAAATCGTCCAAAATCGCGTGACGTCATTTATGGACGACCCTTAGTGGTGAACGGCGGTTGTGTTGGTAATAAGGCCACGGTACATTTCTGGGAGGTATAATCAGGACGCGTGTCAGGTCGATAACCCAGCCCTCGCTTATCTAGCTCCGCCCACACTTCACGTAGCTCCGCCCACTCAGGAAATATCCCCGCCTACTGGCTGGTTGGCCCCGCCCACACCTCACAGGCCACGCCCACAAAGCGAGTGACCCCGCCCATAAAGCGAGTGGCCCGCCCACTGCTCACATGCCACGCCCACAAAGCGAGTGGCCCCGCCCACTTCTCACATGCTACGCCCACAAAGCGAGTGGCCCCGCCCACAAAGCGAGTGGCCCCGCCCACTTCTCACATGCTACGCCCACAAAGCGAGTGGCCCCGCCCACTTCTCACATGCTACGCCCACAAAGCGAGTGGTCCCGCCCACAAAGCGAGTGGCCCCGCCCACAAAGCGGGTGGCCCCGTCTACTTCTCACATGCCCCGCCCACAAAGCGGGTGGCCCCGCCCACTTCTCACATGCCCCGCCCACAAAACGAGAGTGGCCCCGCCCACAAACGGAATAGCCCCGCCCTATCCCCACATATGGAGTTGAGCGAGAGGCGGAAATATTTTAATTCGGCGACAAACATCCACATTTTCACAAAATTTTAGGATGAAGAATATTTAGATTTGAAGCTTTCGTGACTGCAAGGATTCATATTCTTAGGTTTTTTTGGTAAAGTCACGTAGGTAAAACATCAAAATTAATAAAAATAAATAAAATAAAACAAAAATCACGACGTTTTTACGTGACGTCACATTTCTCAACCCCCCCCCCCTCGTCACAAATGTCTGACCACTCCCCCCCCTAGGTGCGTGACGTCATTTATGGACGGCCCCTAAAGCAAAGCATAGGACAGGTAAAAAAAATTGACTCAACAAAAATATGAAAATGAAACTAACCAAATTTAGTGTTTATCTTAGCAGGTATAGCCCACTGAGCTATGAGCACAGATGACAGCTCAACACAGCGGATTGTCATCACGTGGGCATTTCTCGCAGCAAAATAATCGTGCACGAGTATGTTTCATGTCTGTACGTACATGCCATACAACATATGTACGTATGTTGTATGATTGTTGAACCTCTTTCGCACCGTACGCCCCCAACCGCGTTAAAGAAATTAGTTTCCAATCTAGATGTTGTAAAGGTGCATCGCTCCAGTGGCTTGATGGTGATGATAAGGTAGTGATGGTGATGATGAGGTGGTGATGGTGATGATAAGGTAGTGATGGTGATGATAAGGTAGTGATGGTGATGATGAGGTGGTGATGGTGATGATGATGTGATGATGGTACGTGTGTATGTTGAACTTCGTTCGCACCACCGTACACAGCCAACTGAACACAAACTGGACAATCCTAACCCGGTTTAAATGGAACCCATTTGGCGGCAACATTTTAAACTTTTCCTATGGGAATGTCGTGACGTCACCGCCATGTATCCTGAAGGGTGACGTCACGGTTATTAAGTGCGGAGGGGAGGTGGGGGTTTGACCGCGTGATACGCGCGTGCGCACCGGAAACGGGGGGAGGGGCGAGGAGGGGGGGGGATGTGAAGGCGTGGCTTAGTGACTCTCGCCCCCCCCCTAACCCCTCCCCCCCGTTTTCCTCAAGGTCCCCCCACCCTCTCCCCCCCAACTCCCCCACACCCCCCCCCACTCCCATTCAACACACTGAGAGGAGGCGACGTCATATCCCCCTCACCCCCCCCCCTTGCTTATATATGAAGAGGGCGGGGCAAGTGACGTGTGTATTGGCACGCGCGTGGCGGTTGGTGGATTTAGCGGGAAATGGGACCCGAGGGGCGGGGCGCTTGTGTATTGGGGGGAAGAGTGGGCGGTGCGGGGGGGGGGTCTATGTAAAGACAAAGATCCCCGTATAGCCTCCACAGACGTTTTGGGACAAGTGCAGCACCTGTGTAAAGGCCAGCACACGGCACACCAAGGGGGGTGTGGGGGGCCAAGCACCACGCCCGCCCGGCCGCCTTTGTCTCCCTCGCGGCGACGTTTACACACCGCCACAAGGTACACATTTAAGGCTGAGTCGACCTAGTGGGGGGGGGGGGTGTAGGGTCCAGGAGCGGTTCAAGACAAACCTCACTGGTGGATGCTGACCACGCTCGGGTGGGACAAGTTTCGTAGCGCGTCCGCTAACCGCTGTACCACCGCTCCCCACGTAGTGGAAACACCCCCCACACACCACCCCCCACACCTGCAAGCCCCTCCCCCCTACAGCCCCGCCCCCCTCCTTCTCACCCCCCCCACAGCCCCCACCCCTGCAATTTAAAGGGGTGGGTGTTTGTAAATGGTAGCGTTGACGCGTGCGCCCCCCCCCCCCCACACAGCCCCCCCCCCACACAGCACCTGCGGTATATAAGGCCGGGGAGATTGTATCTGCTAGCATTGATAGGCGCGCTGTTGAGGAGCCGCGGCGGGGAGGAGGAGGCAGAGGAGACGCCGCTGCCGCTACCACCACCACGAACACCACCAGCAGCAGTAGCAGCAGCGACAACCATGGGCTTCGCTCATCAGCTCGGGCTGTTGCTGTGGAAGAATGTCACCCTCAAACGGCGCGGACCGGTGAGAGACGCACAATCGATCCGCACATCGATCCGCACAGATGGATTTAGTAAAAAAATCCCCTCAGCGGTGGACGCGTTCGTTGAGTGACGCGCGCTGAGGGGGCGATTGACGGGCAAGTTTCTGCGGGGATCGTTGTCTTCTTGGGTGGTGGACGTTACGAGTGGTGCGTTTGACATCATTATTTTGCGTTTGTATGAGGGGGCAAATCGTGTCCCCACCCCTTATCCGCGGTTTATCGTCTTAACCCGCGATGTGGCAGATAAGGTGACCGCGCCTGCGTTGTTTGACACCTGTGGTGCCGACAATCTGTAACGGTGGCAACGAGAGCTGCGTGTTGTGTTTTGATGGGTGCCCACCGTGCATAACAGGTGCTATAGGTTACGTCAGGTATGCCTTGGTTGTTGGGCAGTGCAGAAAACCTCCGTTGTATTGTACTTCTGTGTTCCCCACCTCCGTCGGTCAACCCAGATATGAACAGACGACCCCATATAGACTCGCACAGATACCCATAACCCTAACACGTCAATCCATGGAGCTCTCATCGAGAGATTTGCACAAACTCGCACGGAGATAAACAACCTGTCAAGGAGAGCCACAGACTCGTACGGAGAGCCACGGACTCGCACGGAGAGCCACGGACTCGCACGGAGAGCCACAGACTCGCACGCAGAGCCACGGAGTCGCACGGAGAGCCACGGACTCGCACGGAGAGCCACGGACTCGCACGGAGAGCCACGGACTGGCACGGACTCGCACGGAGAGCCACGGACTCGCACGGAGAGCCACGGACTCGCACGGAGAGCCACGGACTCGCACGGAGAGCCACGGACTCGCACGGACTCGCACGGAGAGCCACGGACTCGCACGGAGAGCCACGGAGTCGCACGGAGAGCCACGGACTCGCACGGAGAGCCACGGACTCGCACGGAGAGCCACGGACTCGCACGGAGAGCCACGGACTGGCACGGAGAGCCACGGACTCGCACGGAGAGCCACGGACTCGCACGGAGAGCCACGGACTCGCACGGAGAGCCACGGACTCGCACGCAGAGCCACGGACTCGCACGGAGAGCCACGGACTCGCACGGAGAGCCACGGACTCGCACGGAGAGCCACGTACTCGCACGGAGAGCCACGGACTGGCTCGGAGAGCCACGGACTGGCTCGGAGAGCCACGGACTCGCACGGAGAGCCACGGACTGGCACGGAGAGCCACGGACTCGCACGGAGAGCCACGGACTCGCACGGAGAGCCACGGACTCGCACGGAGAGCCACGGACTCGCACGGAGAGCCACGGACTCGCACGGAGAGCCACGGACTCGCACGGAGAGCCACGGACTCGCACGGAGAGCCACGGACTCGCACGGAGAGCCACGGACTCGCACGGAGAGCCACGGACTCGCACGGAGAGCCACGGACTCGCACGGAGAGCCACGGACTCGCACGGAGAGCCACGGACTCGCACGGAGAGCCACGGACTCGCACGGAGAGCCACGGACTCGCACGGAGATCCACAGACTCGCACAGAGAGCCACAGCCTGGCACGGAGAGCCACGGACTCGCACGGAGAGACGCGTACTCGCACGGAGAGGCAGAGACTCGTACGGAGAGCCACGGACTCGCACGGAGAGGCGCGGACTCGCATGGAGAGCCACGGACTCGCACGGAGAAACACGGACTCGCACGGAGAGCCACGGACTCGCACGGAGAACCACAGACTCGCACGGAGAGCCACAGCCTGGCACGGAGAGCCACGGACTCGCACGGAGAGCCACGGACTCGCACGGAGAGTTACAGACTCGCATGGAGAGCCTCCGGGCAGTGGTGCATGTGACCTGTATCTAGCGCTGTGGAGGCACCAGTGGGCGTCGAGATGCCATACCCTGACTTGCCAGAAGAAGGCGGTACAGCAAGTTGATTAATTGCCATCAGTTTTCATCTGTATGGAGAACCAGTGTTGTTGCCCCAATCACGCTTGTGGGTTTTCTCCGGGTGTATAATAAACGTGTAATAATAAACACAACTCGTCACTAATTGGCTGAAAACATCTGAGGATATCAACAACAAAACCCCCAATTCAGTCGCAGGATCCCCCAGGAAAAGTCCTGCGACTCATTGTGTCTTTCCTGGATTAACAATTTGAATAAAAACAAATAATAAAAATGGTCAAATAACCCCCAACGACCCTCAATCATAACATGGGGAGCCCCCTCCATCCAGCAGTGGACCTAGCAATGTTGTTTTGTTCAATACTCTGAATTTAGTGACCTCTGGTAGCTGGAACAGGTCACGTTAACGTTGACACCACCACCTACAACAACTACCGCCATTTGCCACTAAGGGGCGGTGACATCACCACTGCGCTTGTGCCAGGCTAGGTGCACTGTTAGGCCACGTGGAGTGTTGAATGATTGCTGACAGGTCACGGGATAGACCCCGGTGCCATGGGTCGATTGACCTAGATGACTGGCCGATGCACCAACCCGTGCCCCCTCCTATGCCAACTCGCCGTGTTTTACCCGCCCGGCGCTCCGCTCGTTGTTGTGAGCGTCGCTCCTCTGCCCTCCGTTGTTGCTGGAGGTCGTCTGCCTCCAACTGCCCAGTAGCAGCGTCCTTCATGTTGACACTGACACCATCATCCACATCACCAGCTGATGATGATTGTACTGGTCATGTTACAAGCTGTGTCTACTGCACATCATCATCCTTACCATCACCATCATCATCCGCTGATGATCGTACTCGTGGTGTTGGTGATGTGTTGTAATGTGCATGTATATTTGTACACATCACCATCTGCGTTCTCATCATCATCATTATCCACGACCATCTTCAACATCACCTTATGATGATGTTGGTGTTGGTGGTGTCTTGTGTGCACAGCCTTCATCACCACCATCAAACATCATTATCATCATCCACTCACCCCTTCCACCACTACCATTATTATCCTCATCAGCTCTCATGATCCCGATACTGATGATGGTATTGGCAGTGTCTTGTTAGTTGCTTATGTGTACAGCCTTCATCACCACCATCAAACATCATTATCATCATCATCCACACACCCCTTCCACCACTCTCATGATCCCGATTCTGATGATGGTATTGGCAGTGTTATGTAAGTTGCTGATGTGTACAGCCTGCATCACCGCCATCCAACATCACTATCATCATCAACATCATCCACATCATCCACGCAGGGCCACGACCATCATTATCCTCATCATCTCCTGATGATGATGATGATGATCTGTGTGTGTCCATACAATTTACGACAATTGAACATTGTCGTCTTCACCCATACAGTCGTCATCGTCGTTATCGGCGTCATCGTCACCCTGATCAGCTGATGGTCATGACCATCTAATGATGTGTAGGGAGCTTTGTGTAATTCACATCATCATCATCCACACTACCATCATCATCTTCTTCACCAATGATAACGATCATTGTGGTATTTCCTGCGTTGTGATCCGTGGATGCTGCACACAAACCTGCAACACAACCCCAATCTACATTATCATCATTGTCATTCACAGCATCACCACCAGCACCACCACCATCTGATGACGGTGATTGCTGGTATTGGCGGTGTGATGGTGTTTACCGTGTGTGTGCTGCGTGTGTGTGTGTGCTGCTTGTGTGTGCTGCGTGTATCAACCTACGTCGGTGACAAATATCTGAATCGGTCCTGGGCTTCACCTAGGTCGACTCGGCATTAAACGAGTACCTGGTGCAGTCTATAAACATGAGCAGTGGGAGGCATAGTCGGCTGGGAGTGGTGTTGGCCACCGACTCCCTGAAAGGTGTGTGCTGTGCCAACCTTGATAGGTGCTCGCAAACAGAACTTGCCCTGACACTCTGTTAAAGGCGACATGGAGGATATTTGCCTTGTTATTTTGTTCTGTGTTATGACGAGTGATGTATTGCTCCACGTAGCAGCAGCAGCAGCACACACATTCCCTGCAGCAGCTACGCTTCTTGTGTGGTTGTGTCGGGTGCTATGAATGGCGTTCCAGTAAATGTACCTCCTGCTCTGCGTCTGCCTGCTACTGTCACAATCGCAAGTATTCTTACCACGGTGCCATGTTCATTGCTGTAGCAGTAACGTACAAGAAACACGATGCCGATTAATATGAACATGATGATAGCGATTAAATCGGCCCGTGTGTGGGCTGCTGTATTAACTCTGCTGATCGTGTAAACAATACATCTTCCATTGTGTGTCGGACACTTGTGTAAAATTTCTTTTACGTAACGCCTCGCACGGTTCGGGAGCATTACAACATCGCAGGGATCGCGAGGGACTGAGATGACGACGACGACTACGGGAGGAGGCCTTCATCCAGCAGCGCGTGATTGACCGTAGCTGACGATGATGATGCTGCAGTTTGCACGAGGGGCGACTCTATACAAAACTAACCATTGGATTTTTTTTTCTTTCTATCCCAGCACCCGGGCCCCCGCCAGCCTGTGTGCCTCGGAGCAGTTGCACCGCCTGCACACTCAATGGCTATGCCACTGCCCGATCCAATAGGAAGGCAAGACTCACTCCTGGCCAGTTGTTGCGGTAGGGGGCAGACGTTGCTGCTTCAGCAATGAGTCAGTTGCAGTGTGACTTTTCAGCATTGGGATGATTTTTTCCCGGCTAATACCAGTTACATTTTATGGCAGTGGTCTTCGTTGCAAGGCACCGTGGGGCTACTGGCAGGCCCGTGGTGGCCTTTAGTGCGGGGGGGGGGGGCCCTGATGTGCGGCTCCCCGAGAATACAAACACCCCAACCCATCATCATCATCATTGTGCTGCTGTCAAACCCACAATGGTTTCAAATGCGTGGCGGCCCTTACACTGATGATGTCTTGTCGGAGAAAGTGCCAGAGGTGGGACAAAGTCATTGTTATGCAAGTCCAAGTCGAGTCTGAAGTCATCAAATTCATGACTCGAGTCTGACTCGAGTCCAAGTCACATGACTCGAGTCCACACCTCAGAGGTGGGACAAAGTCATTGTTATGCAAGTCCAAGTCGAGTCTGAAGTCATCAAATTCATGACTCGAGTCTGACTCGAGTCCAAGTCACATGACTCGAGTCCACACCTCAGAGGTGGGACAAAGTCATTGTTATGCAGTCTGTGCAAACTGCCGGAGAGCTCTAATGAGAGTATTTGTTCACTGAACTATATAGTTCTTTTTAAGAAGCGACTTTGCTATCACAAATGATAGCTCAACGAAGTGGCTTATCACCACGTGGGAATTTATAGCAGCCAGATACTCTAAACGCGTGACATTGATTCTAAACGTGGAGGGGGAAAAACTGGAGGACCCGGAGAAAAATCCACACGGCCACTGGGAGAGAAACACCGCAAACTCCAAATATACAGCAGGCGTTAGCAGCAGGATCGCACCTACAGCCTCCTCCATACCGAGCCAGGTAGTTATCTTCTCACCACCGTGATGCAATGGGTTGCTGGATTGAGGTCTTTGTCCAGCAGTGGTTGAGAATGATCGGGATGATGTTGGTCAAGATCTCAACTTCCAGTGCTCCCTATCCACCTTTCTGCATTTACCAATCTTTTCTGTTAATTCAAAAAAAACAAAATTCCACTGCACACCCCCCAATGCCCTTGATGGTTTGGTAATTGCACAAAGCTGTACTGTAGTGTGAGGCAGCGAGTACTGGAGTTGAGAAACCGTTAGACCAGCAACATCATCATTGTCAGCCACAATCAATGCACTGCTGGATAAAGCCTCGTTTCTCATGCCGATGGGTAGATGGGATTGAACCTGTAACCTGCGACGGTGACGTTGGCACACTATTGCACTTGAGTAGGGAGATGCGAGGTGAGACAGCAGTTTTATTTTGTACAGGAATTTAATTAAATGCCCCATTTACCATAAATCGATAAGTGCCGGGACATTCGGGCAGAAAAAGTGCACACGTTTGTTTTTTTGAGGCTGTGTTTTTTCATGCGAGCGGAGTGCGCTCGCAAATTACAATGAGCTTGGCCGGTGGTGGCTACGGTGCACGTGGCGTGGCCATTAACCCAGCACGGTAGAGGCAGCAGCAGCAGTAGCAGCAGCGAGGGGTTTCGCGGATCGCTCCTCCATTCTCGTCGGCGTTCTGGGAGGAGTCGCTGTACCCTGGCTCGCCAAGAGAAGGCAGGGAAGGAATAAAAATGTGGTCTTTACTGTTTCCATCTTTATGGGATAGTGTGTTTCCCCCTTGCACGTGTGAGTTTTCCGTTTACCTCCCACATGTATAAGGTCTGCACTCAATAAACACAAAGTGCTTGCCATAAGTGAACCACAATAACTTGCTGGTCTCGTCAGGGAGCATAAACCATCACGCGAACTCCGGTCATCCTCGCAGCGGCTTTTGGCTGGCCATCAAACAAAGACGGTTACTGCATCACGTGCTCTCAGATGCTCTTCTGCGGGCGTCTGGAATGCTCTTCCTTCCAATATGAGGAAGCCACTGGAGATATGCTTTTTTAAAAATCGATAGAAATCTAATTTCTTAGAAACTATCTTCTTGGTTCTTTCGGTAAAGTCACGTAGAAGGGAAGTAATAAAATAATAAAAATAAAACATAATAAAAAAATTCTCACGACGTTTCGGCCACAACGCAAGCAGCCGTCCTCAGGTGAAGAATATGTCTGTCTTACTTCCCTTCTACGTGACTTTACCGAAAGAACCAAGAAGATGAATCCCTGCAGTCACGAAAGCTTTAAATCGAAATTTCTTCAGAACTACTTTTTGTGTTTGGTTTGTCCAACCCCCACACCACGCATACATCACGTATGGTGTGAAAGAAGTTCAACATACGCACATACAACATCTCGCCACCGAGGCGCCCCTTGTAGCAGTTAATAGACCATGGGTGTGCCCGGATGTGCGTGTGTGTGTGTGTGACACAGTGGGTGCTGGCTTGCGAGGTCTTCATACCGCTGGCACTCTTCTTCGTTCTGCTCGGACTTCGGCAGAAGAAGCCGACCATCTCCGTCAACGAAGGTAAAGCATGCCCGGTACCTGCCGGTACCTGACGATCCCCGGCAAATAACCCGGCGGTACTCGCCGAACCGCCGATCGGCGTTGGGCGCTTCCCAGATCGTTTTTTGCCCGCATCTTACAAACCATTCCATCACCATATTTTTTGCATTTTATGTTTGTCACATTTCATTTTGCCACCATTGCTGCTGCTGCCACCATTGTGTTTCCGTTAACACGGTCACCTCTCTCTCTTGTGTTTTGTGCTTTTAATTTTTCCATCATTTTATTCTGTTTTTTTTGTTTGCTTCCGTTTCATGACCACCACCACCACCAACCACCAACCTCCACCTCCGTTTATTTCTGGACGTCTGCGTTGTGGGGCCCCGCGGCAGTCTGTAAGTTTCTCCCGAGGTGCCGCGTTAACCGTTTGGCCTCCTGTAAGGATGAGTCAACATCTCTCGCGTTCCGAGCTGGCAGAATGTCATCGTAGGAGGACACACGGCCGCTCGTATTTGTCGCACTAATTATTACAATGATGATCTCGCCTATTCGTACTAATCAATAATAACGATGCCAATTATATCCCCGCTGTGTTGTCAAGTTGTACCGCTACATGTTGTTGTGGTTGTTCGACACACGACCGTCCGACGTCTTTGACTTTTGGTGGTGGGTGAGCTCCTTTTGAGAAGTAAATTCGGTCGTGGAAGGAGCCTCCCGGGGCGTCGTGCTACACGGCGCACGGTGCAAACCGAACGCACAGCCGGAGAGCTGCACAGCAGCTGACCGTGAACGCCCCATGCGCGATTGATGCCAATTAATCTTGATAATAACAGTAATGATGATGATGTCATTTAATTACCCAGGAAGCCACGCTGAGACTTAAGACTCCTTTTTTTAGGAGGGTGCTACTGCATTGTGCTTCCGTGAGTGATGAGAGTTTGGATTCGTGTTTGCAGGAGGAATCCATAGACACCGCAGAAACCCAGCACTGCGCTGCTGTTGTATACGAGGGGGGAGACACTCGGGAAACTGGAGACCCCAGAGACAACCTAGCACAGGGCTGCTCTATATGAGGGGGAGACACTCAGCACCGCCACCTCCTTGGCACCACCTCGCTGCAGCCCCGCCACGACTACCACACCTGGCAAGCCCTGGTGGTGGTGGCGGTGGCGGTCCCCCATCCCACACGTTAGCAGAATTAAAATTCCCACTTGGCCTCCGAGGTCTGACTATGTTTGATGCATTAAGGGTGACGCGGCTCATCTTCGTCATTTACTGAGGGGCAGGTAAATAAAAACAAGTACGACTTTGTGGGCAGTCAATCACTCATTGTCCTCCTCGGGGTCCTGCTCTCCTGCCACAGGAATGTGGAATGTCCACTACCTTCTCAGGGCAGTCGGTGAAGATGAGCATCGCACAGGAACGGGTCCGGTGACGGCCCAGCACCCACGGATTAATTACACATCGCCCCTCACCCTGCCTCCCCCCAACAGTGCTCCTGTTGTCCTATAATTAATGAATCAGCTGCTCATGTCACCTGCAATTAAGAAAACCTGGAGCGGAGGGCACTGGCTGCCTGGCTTGGAGCCACAGAACTCCTTGCAAGGCACTTTGGCCTTTGTCGTGCTCTCTCTCTCTCACCCGCCGACACTTGGACCCATGACCGCTTCACCTTGAACAATGCGAATTCAACCGCGATGAAGCCTGGAGAACCGAAATGGAGTTCAAAATAAGAACTTGTGAAAGACCCAATGTAGAAAATCCCTAGGTTTGATCTTTGACGAAGATGCTCATGGTCCACCCCAAATCGCATCCACTGCACAAACCATGGCAGACGCGGATACCTGATGTACAAATGCAACATTTAAAAAAACTCTCCAATGCACGACCGTGATCGTCAAGAACATACCATACAATATTCAACAAAGCAAATACCCAATCCACAGATACGAAGGAGACATCGCAGCGATGATACACTACTCCGCTGCGCCCGACACGGTTATCTGGCTTGACTACCTGAATGTGAAATTGTCGTTGCTGCTCTGCATCTTCATCAGGACGCATATAAAAGAAGAAGACCGGCTCGCACTAAAGTCCGCTTGAGAAGGCAAAAGCCATAGCTGGAGACACGATGACAAAGATGATTCTGCAATGATTTTAAGCTTTCGTGACTGCAGGAATCCATCCTCTTTGGTTCTTTTGGCAAAGTCACGTAGGTAGCAAATGAAAGAAATCGCGACGTTTCGATAACCTTGTTGTAACTGCTCTCTCACTGGTTCAGCAGTTCCACTTTTGGATTATATTTTTTCCGCCTGAGGACGACCGTTTGTGTTGCGATCGAAACGTCGTGATTTATTTTCTACCTACGTGACTTTACCGAAAGAACCAAAGAGTATGATTCTGCAAGGCTAGATATATAATGTATTGCTACAGAAGGATCTTGCATCTCGGCTGGACTCAACGAGTGACCAAGGTCGCACGTAGAAGAAGACAACCCGATGATGCAGGCAGGCAGCCAGGCGTGATGAGAAGGAAACTGGCACTAATTGGACACATGTAGGATGGAAAACAACAGGAAAAATACAAGTGTGTGTTCGTGGAAAAATGGAAGGAACCGGGAAGAGGGTAAGACCTAGCGGAGAATGGCTTGATGACGATATTAAGAGATTTGTGCCAGAAAGATGTGGCCACTACTACTTGAGTCACATTGGTACAAGTCAGAGGAACATGAAAACCAATGACGAAATGTACAGCGGACACCCACGGGCTGTCTGCCCATGGATCGTAATGATGACGAGATATACAATAGACTCTGGATTATCAACGTGCGGTTTATACGATTTTGCGGATTAACTGGGCACCTGAGATTTTGACGTGAATTAATAACTCGTGGATTTTCCCTTAAGACCAATTGAATAATCTGAAAACAGTTCTGTATTAAATCTTGACTTAAAGCTTCCGTGACTGCAGGAATTCATATTTTTGGTTCTTTCGGGAAAGTCACGTAGATATACAGTTCTATATTGTTATTCTACAAGTCGCGTGTCTTAAACTGAACAAATACATGCTCCGGTTAATCCAAAATCCACTTGATCGCTTCTACAGTACAGTACAGCATATGTTGACAATGGTGGGCAGGGTTTGAATGATGTTGATCGGCGCAGCTCTGCTGTCCACTTAATAGGCCGAGTGTTCTGCGCGGGAGCAGGAAAGTGTTATCACTGAGCATGCGCATTGATCGGTCGATCGATCGTTAGCATTCGTTGGAAATCAAAAGGGTAACAATTGAAATCGCCAGCTGTGCTTCATTTTGAGTGGCATTGAGATTCGCGGAAAATGTTTATTTTTTGATTATCCACGATTTTGAATTCTCCACGGCCATCCTCTCCATCATTAGCGCAGATAATCGAGAGTCTACTGTATATATCAGGAGAAATCTCCTGATGCCAGTCTGTATGGATGCCTTGCTATTACATCGCAGATAATGTTAACTTGTAGCGCACCGTCACACGGTGTTGGCTCACTCGCGAAGAGAGATGAACACTCGGAGGCACGAGGAATAACCACAAGCGAGTGAGGAGGCAGCAGCCGCACGCGGTGATCCGGAGCTGCCAACAGGTGCCAAAGCTCTGCGGTCCTCTCTATATATTTAGGCGTTGTTGTCCAATACGACGAGCGATTTATGCGCGTGGGAGGAAACTGGAGGAAACGCGCCATCCCATACAGATGGAAAAGGTGGAAACCACATCTTCGCTTTCCTGTCAGGGTACGGGCTCCTCATAGACGCCCATGAGAAGGGAGTTTCGCAACATCTGTGCTGTGATCCACCAAACCCCCTCCTTGCTGCTGTTTCCACCGTGCTGGGCTAGAGGCCACGCCACCTGCGGCGTAGCCACCACGGCCCAGCTCGTGATTTGCGAGCACACACTACTGGCTCCGCGGTCCTCAATATATCGAGGGTGAGGAAACGGAAGCGTCCGGAGGAAACCCACGCGAGCGAGGAGAAAACGCTCTCCCATACATTTTCGTCGAGTACCACCTTGTCCTGGCCAGCCAGGGCTCGGCCAATTCTCTACGCCCCCGCCCCACCGGAAGGGAGTTTCGCAACAGCTGTGTGCGCTGCTGCTCGCACACCGCAGGATAACAGGCGTGCGCCACCACCGCCCGGCTAAAGATGATTCTGCAGGGGTAGATCTAACATATATATGTAGCTGGAGAAAGTTCCTGAAGCCAGCCTGTGTGGGTGACTTGTTAAGACAAAAAACAAAACTATTTTAGTTTACCAGGTAAGGCCCACTGAGCTATATAGCTCTTTCAGAAGCGACCTGGTTATCACAAATTCTAGCTCAACGAAGTGGCTTATCACTTGGAAACTTATAGCAGTAGCCAAATACTTAAAATGCTTGACGTTGATTATAAATGTGGAGATAAAAGCCGCAGGACCCGGAGAAAAATCCACGAGATCATGCAAACTCCAAATATACAGGAGGTGTCGGGGTTGGGATCGAACCCACGACCTCCTATATACCAGGCGAGGAAGTTACCATCTCATAGCCACCGTGGTGCCTGACGGTGGCGAGATCGCCTGTACTCCTCGTTCAGATCTTCGGTACGACCCAAATCGACTGCACATTTCACGAACGCGAGCGATTTATTTCAGGGGCCATTAACCCCTCGCCCGGCCCCCCCGCCAGCTCCCCGGCTTGGCTTCAAGATTTTCAAGAGCGCCGACTCGGCAGCGCCCGTTCGTGATGTCGCCAGCAGCATTTTGGCCTCCGTTCCCCGCAACCTTTTTTCCTCGCTTGGGGGGGGGCCCGAAAAAGGACTTGCAGAAAACCCGCTTTTTGCAGGCGAGGGGAACTTTTCCCGCAGTGTACTCGTGCGTCGTCCCCCATAGTCTTGCGCAAATCACAAGAGGAATGTGCGTGTCGGAGACGTGGCAGAAGTGACCTTCGATTGGCACGGTTGGCTACGTAAGATGCGAAAGAAGTTCAACATATGTCTGTGTCCTACATTTAGAAACGCAGTGTTGTTGCGGAGTGGAAAATGCCTCCCCCCCCCCGCCCTTCCCTCTAGAACACTGCTTAGTATGCCTAAGATGCTCGCAGGGACTGTGTACTCGTCAAATTGCCGTATCAATTTTCGGTCCCTCAAAAAAGGAGTTTTATTATTTCCATTGGGAGCTCACCTGGTTAAACTATACGCGGGGCATGTCTCGTCACGCCGCACACGCCGGATGATGATTGCTCAACGGACCTCCATTGCCCAGTCCTCCGGTGCCGTTCTGCAGCTCTGTCGAGGGGCTTTGCTGTGTTTGCTGTGAACCCCACATCTCTCACGCCCCCCCCCCCCACCTTTTGTACAGCACAGCATCACATATCCGACTTTGGGGACTGAGGCATAGGCGGATCTGTGAAAAGGTCGCATTTGTGAACGTCTACACCACTGTGGAAAAATACCGGCGGTGGGCGGTTAATCGATTGGGCTGGACATGTGACGGTCGGACATGTGACATTGTACTGTAACTCGCACTGCTGTGATGTTGCTCCTGCCCTTGATGATTACCCATCCCTCAATCATTGAAACAACAACAACAACAACGTTGATTTACAGCCCCTTTATCAATCCTCCCCCTGCCCTGCGTCGGCTGTGGGGGTAGCTTGACTATACTTCGTCCTGCTAGTCTGTGTTGGTCACTGAAGACAGGAGTGGGGGTGCCCAGGGCTGGTTCAGATAGCGCTTGCCACCGACGTTAGCCATGACCAGGAAACGAGCTCGGGTCACCGGATTCATAGCCTACGCCGATCTCTTTGCCAATTGTATTATAATTGTGCTAGCGTTGTCATGTCACGTAACGAATGGCCCAATCGGATCTCTTGCACACCGTTCATAGCTAACCGTGCTAATTGGAGGTGCAGGGCAAGGAAAACAAACTAAACTCACAAAGCAGTTCTAAAGAAATGAGTTTGTCAATTTAGATGTAAAAGCTCATAGCTCCAGTGGCTTCCTAATATCGTAAGGAAGAGTGTTCCAGACGGCCGCAGAAGCGCATCTGAAAGCCCCGCACGATGCATTGACAGTCTTTGTTCGATGGCCAGCTAAAAGCTGCCGTCGCTGCTGCGATGATGACCGGAGCGTGATGATGGTTTATGCTCCTGGATGAGAGCGGCAAGGTAAAATGAATGGCCCGTGGAGGGAGTTATCACAGAACTACTTCTGAGGTCCCCTTCGAGTGATCTCGTTGTCCACAGACTGGGGGTGCTGCACTTTCCCCTGCTGCAAGAGGGGAATGTCCGTATCACGGACAGAGTATCCCGACTGGGCTCACGGCGTCGACTCTTGGTCGGGAGCACCGGTGTCGGTCACAGACGGCTTGAAGCGGGATTGGAACCCGGCTTGAAGCGGGATTGGAACCCGGCTTGAAGCGGGATTGGAACCCGGCTTGAAGCGGGATTGGAACCCGGCTTGAAGCGGGATTGGAACCCGGCTTGAAGCGGGATTGGAACCCGGCTTGAAGCGGGATTGGAACCCGGCTTGAAGCGGGATTGGAACCCGGCTTGAAGCGGGATTGGAACCCGGCTTGAAGCGGGATTGGAACCCGGCTTGAAGCGGGATTGGAACCCGGCTTGAAGCGGGATTGGAACCCGGCTTGAAGCGGGATTGGAACCCGGCTTGAAGCGGGATTGGAACCCGGCTTGAAGCGGGATTGGAACCCGGCTTGAAGCGGGATTGGAACCCGGCTTGAAGCGGGATTGGAACCCGGCTTGAAGCGGGATTGGAACCCGGCTTGAAGCGGGATTGGAACCCGGCTTGAAGCGGGATTGGAACCCGGCTTGAAGCGGGATTGGAACCCGGCTTGAAGCGGGATTGGAACCCGGCTTGAAGCGGGATTGGAACCCGGCTTGAAGCGGGATTGGAACCCGGCTTGAAGCGGGATTGGAACCCGGCTTGAAGCGGGATTGGAACCCGGCTTGAAGCGGGATTGGAACCCGGCTTGAAGCGGGATTGGAACCCGGCTTGAAGCGGGATTGGAACCCGGCTTGAAGCGGGATTGGAACCCGGCTTGAAGCGGGATTGGAACCCGGCTTGAAGCGGGATTGGAACCCGGCTTGAAGCGGGATTGGAACCCGGCTTGAAGCGGGATTGGAACCCGGCTTGAAGCGGGATTGGATTGCAGGGTGTAGGTCCCGTTCACTGCTGCATCTTGGAGCGTGCGAGCGGTTCGGCGTTGGTTTTATCCGGAGAGGCGTAGCAGCGCCGTTGTTTTTAATAACATCGCACACGCCACGGAGAAACGTTGTGACACAACTGCACTCGATGATAGCAGGCTCCCAAGCTGTGGCCCGCAGGAAGTTGCTTCTCGAGTGGGTTGCTCAGAAAGAGAGAGAAGGTCAAACTGGAACCGTTTCACAGAGTGAAAGTAAATTCGGACTGGAAATATAGTTGGGGGGAGGGGGGGGAAGTCCTTGAAACAATCAAATCGCAATCCTAAAGGATGGGCTCTAGGGTGAAAGGGCAAGACATAGGAGGCTGGACCTACTGCTGAACAATGTAGAATGGGACACCAGATGTGAGGACACTTGAACCAAGAAGCTGACCTTGGGCAGAGACCTCCCAGATTCTGATTCTGCTGCTGGCGCCTTGCGTCTTGCTCGGCGCTCTGCAAGCGCGGGCGGCGCCTCTGCGGTGACCATCTGCCTGTGCCCGTCTCCTCCCTTTCTGCGCTTGGATATCCTCTGCTTTCTGCTTGGCCCCCCCTCCTGTCTGTGTGCGCATGTGCATGTGTGTACACCTCCCCAACGTCTCGCCCCCCCCCCCCCCCCTCCAAGCTTACTACTCAGCCTCGCCCTTAACCTCGGCGGGGATCGTGCACATCATGCAGTCCATCTGCCCCGACGGACAGAGGGATGCGTTCGGCTTCCTGGAGTACCGCAACTCCATGTGAGTCCACGCTTGCGCAACCACTCGTCTTTGTGTCCGTCCGCAAAGTGTTTAACGTCCTCCTTCTTGAAACCCACGCTGCTGTTGCTTCTCTCGGGTCTTCTGTAATCTCACCAGCATTCGCATCCGTACAGGGAAAACGGACCCGACGTACATAACGCTGCAGTGTTCTAATTTCTTCTTGCCATAAATAATGATTAAATCCTCGCAAAATCCGCGCTCGTTCTGAATGTGGCCCTTGCTTAACCTCCGTCGAAGGAGCCGCGCGCTCTCGTGCTCTCGCGATCCCGCACGAGCAGATGCCCAGCGGGCGCCGTGGCGATGCCATGAATAATGGAGCGGGGGGTGATTTTGGCAGTGGCGGCGTAAACCCTATCGGTCGGCCGATGCCCTTGCACGTTGGATATTGCCTCCCCCCTCTTACCCCACGTGCTATCGTTGGGAATGCGCAGACGAGCGGCCAGCATTTGTTTGTGGTTCATCGTTGACGCCGATTTTGGAAGGACCGACTCGTTTGTCGTATGTCGGTCTTTTTGTTTCAAATAATAATAATGATTATCAACATTTGAACTCATAACGTGATGCCGCGCTCTCGTAGAGAGAGCGAGAGAGAGGACGACTCAGAAGCACAGACGAGGAGTGGGAAGGCAGCGGCCGTGTGGTGAGCCGGCGCTTCCGACAATTGCCCAAGCTCTGCGGCCCTTTATATGAAGGTGTTATCGGCCAAATGATGAGCGTTTGCAAGTGGGAGGAGGAAACTGGAACGCCCGGAGTAAACCCACGGGTGCGTGCGAGGGGGAAACACGATATCCCGTACAGACAGAACAGGTGGAGTCCGCACAGTTGCTGTGCCGCCTTCTCCGGGCAGAGCCAGGGTACGGCTCCCCCTCGACGGCCACCAACCCCTTGCTCCTACCTCCAGAGTACTGGGTTACGTGCCACGTGTGTAGCCACGACCACCTGGCTACACTTGACCATATTCTGTGGATTATTGGGCGTTGTGACATGGCCCAGTTGGTCGTGCGTTCACCGCTTGTTGCGAACAAACGATCGGAGTGCAAAGTCTAGGAAAGATAAGCAAATCGCAAAAAAAATATATACAAATATATTGGCAGCTAAAATTCACTGAGCTTATTTTTTTTCAGAAGCGACCTGGCCACAAATGATAGCTTAACAAAGCGGCTTATCACGTGGAAATTTCTAGCAGCAAAATAATCTAAATAACCTAAACGCATGTTTCTAAATCCATTGACATGGATGTATGTTGAACTTCTTTTGCCCCGTACGTTGCCAACCACGCTAATCGGAAGTGTGGGAGGACAACACGCTAAAGACAAAAAGCAGTTTAAGAGAAATGAGTTTGTCGTTCGACTTGACTTAAAAGTGCACAGCTTCCAGTGGCTTCCTGACATCGGACAGAAGAGCGTTCCAGGCGGCCGCAGAAGCGCATCTGAAAGTGTGATGCGGTGACCGTCTTTGTTCGATGGTGAGCCAGAAGCCACTGCTGCTGCGAGGATGACGGAGTTCACGTGATGATGGTTCATGTTCCTTGACGAGATCAGTGGATACAACCGCATTGACCCCTTGACCTCGACCTAACGGTCATGGTTCAACGGCGAGCCGCTGTCACGAGGGACCGCTTGCGCCCTCGCCACGGCGAGCGGTACCATCGTCGCCGCCGTCGATCCGTGCCGTCGTCTGCCCCCGCGCCCAGGGTGACTCAGCTGCTGGAGCGGCTGGGCGAGGTGACGGCCGACACGGACTTGCTCTCCCCTGAGCGCGCCGGCCTGGACGTGGAGCTCGGGGCGCTGAGGCGACACGCGGCAGAGCTGGGGGGGCAGCCCGGCCCCTTGGAGCGCAGCCTCAACGCGGCCCACAGTGAGTGGGGATGGGGGTGGCCGGGGGGTGCCCAGGATCGGTTCATTGTGAGTCACTCGCCACCTCGCGTTAGCCGTGACCAGGGATGAAACTCTCGTCGCCGGATTCGCAGCGCACGCGGTCTCTTTCCCGCTTGTGTTCTGATGATTGTGCTTTCAGTGTCGTGTCATGTGATGAATGGCCCAATCGGAACCCTTGCAGTAGGCAGTGCCAATCCCCTTGTGTTAGAGTCTGCACCGTACGTAGCGAAGGGCAACAAACTAAACACTAAAAGCAGTTCTAGAGAAATGAGTTTGTCAATCTCTAGGTGATTTTAAAAGTGCATGGCTCCAGTGGCTTCCTAATATTGGATGGAAGAGGATTCCAGATGGCCGCAGAAGCGCATCTGAAAGCGCGTGATGCAGTAACCATCTTTGTTCAATGGCTCGCCAAAAGCCACTGCACGGATGATTGGCGTAAGCGTGATGATGGTTTATGCTCCTGGCAGTCAACTTGTGCCACACAGGGACAGCTGCCACTGGGGGTGCCCTTTCAAATGTTATTGAGATGACATAACGATGCAAGTAGCTTATCGCGTGCAAGGCACTCTTGAGATGCCCTGGCTTAAAAGACGGTGGCTCTATCAAACACAAAAAATTATTATAATAATAATGCTTTCAACTTCAACGCTTTAGAAAGGCAGCCGTGCAGAGATCTGGTGCCAGTAATTGCTCAAGCTGTGCGGTCCTCTGTATATTTGAGGTGTTAGCAGCCAATTAACGACGTGCGAGAGAGCAACGCTCGATCCTTTAAAACAGGTGGAGTCTACCTTTGCTGTACCGCCTTCTCATGGCAATCCAGGGTATGGCTCCTCCTCGATGCCTACGGGATTAGCACGGTTGGATACGTACGGTGCAAAAGAAGTTCTAGATACATACAAGAGAGTTCAACAACATCTGTGCAGTGATCCACCAACCCTCGCTGCTGCCTCCACAGTGCTGGGTCACAGGTCACGCCACGTGCAGCAGCATAGCCACCACCACTGCCCAGCAAACTCCACATATACAGCAGACGTCAGGGTCGGGACCGAACCCACGACCTTCCCGTATACCAGGCGAGGTAGTCAACATCTCCTATTCACCGTGGCAAATCCACACGCCCTGGGGGAGAACACGCAACCTCCACATATACAGCAGACGTCAGGGTCAGGATCAAACCACGACCTTCCCGTATACCAGGCGAAGTAGTCAACATCTCCGAGCCACCGTGGCAAATCCACACGACCTCGGGGAGAACACGCAAACTCCACATATACAGCAGACGTCAGGGTCAGGATCGAACCCACGACCTTCCCGTATACCAGGCGAGGTAGTCGACATCTCTCCACCACGGCGCCTCATTGTCGTGTCTCGGAGCTGTGAGCCGCCCGTGATCTCCTGTGTCCTGTCTCAACCACCGGCCCCTCGCCCCTGTACAGACCTGACGCTCTCCACGCTGCTGAGAGACCCAGAGAGTTTCCGTGACTTCCTGAGTCGGAACCTCTCGCTGAGCGATGGGGCGGCCGCCGCTCTGCTGGACTCGCCCATCGACACGCGAGAGGTGGGCACGCACAAGACAAAGGTCGCCCGTGTAGCCCCCGCGGGACTGTTGGGGCAAGTGCTGTTTGCGGGATGGCACCCGTGAAGGCCTGCACGGCGCGCGAGGGGGTGGTGTGACCAGAACTACGCCCGGCCACCTTTGTCTCTCCCCAGTGCTGATGTTTTACTCACTGCAACAGGTACTCATTAAAGGCTGAGTCGACCTAGTGGAGGCTACGGGACCGATTCGTAAAGTTGTCACCGGTGTTGGGCATGAGCGGGTATCGAACTCTGGTCGCCGGGTTTGTAGCGCAGTGCGGTAACCACCACTCCCCACTCTGGAAACTAATCCGCTCTTTCCACAATTGCCCCACTCCACACACGCACACACACAAGACAAAGATCCCCCGTATAGCCTTAACAGACTTTTGGGGCAAGTGCTGTTGGCGAGCACCCATGAAGGCCGGCACACGAGGGGGTGGGTGGCCAGGACCACGCCCGGCTGCCTTTGTCTCCCCAGCGGTGATATTTACGCATTGCACCGTGTACTGATTTGAGGCTAGTATTGTTTTAGATAACTTTCACTGGTGTTGGCCGTGAGTAGCACCTCCTGAAGGCTCCCGCGCGCACACGCACGTGGAGGGCGCTCACCACGCAGAGCTGCGCTCGTTACGTCACCCTGGCGACAATGACGACCGTGCGATGGTTCTCCTCCAGCTGTACCGCCTCTTCCTGGGCTCTTACCCTCTGGTGCCCAAGGACGCATGGGACAAGGAAGAAGGCGACTCCAACAGCATCCCGGCCTTCCAGGTAAGTGGGCAGCTCTACACAAAGACAGAGATCCCCCGTGTGTAGCCTGGAACAGACTGTTGGGGCGAGTGCTGTCAGCGAGTAGCACCTAATGAAGGTGGGCGCGGTGCACAAGGGGGTGGGTGGCCAGCGCCACGCCCGACTGGCTTTGTCTCCCCAGTGGCGATGTTTACACAATGCACCAGGTACTCGTTTTAGGCCGAGTCGACCTAGGGGAGGCCACAGGATGCAACCCGAATGATGGACTATATAAGTAATCCACTGTAGTCTGTGCTCCTTCAACGGAGGAGAAAGAGCGGTAAAACGACACCAATTCTCTCCTGGAGCCCTCCCGTCATGGCAAGCATCGAGCTCTTGAACATCGCCAGCGGGAGGATGTTCTAGACAATGGGGGTGTGGCAGCATTGGAGAATGAGGGATCTCCCGCTGACCCCCCGTTAACCCGTTGCTGTCCTAGGAGCAGCTGGTGTCCAAGTGGAGGAACCTGCAGAGGGGGCTTCTGCAGCAGGCGCTGCAGGACCCGGCGCTGGCTTCGCAGAGACCGGCGCTGCTGTCCGCCCTCGCACAGGCGCTGGGGCTCGCCAATGCCAGCAGCAGTAAAGGCGGCGGCAGCAACAGCAGCAATCGGCCAGGGGGGGAGGACGGCGGCGATGGCGACGGCAGCGGCGCCTCGCTCGTGCGTGCTCTGCAGGTCGGTGGAGCTGCGTAGCGCCGGCGGCGGCAATGGTAGTGATAGTAGTAGTTGTGTCATCATCGGCCGGGTGGTGATGGTGACTACGCTGCTGCTGTTGCTGCACGTAGCTTGTCATCCATAGTAGAGGTTTTTTTGGGTTGGGTCAAGTAAATATATAAATGTGTCGTTAAACCCATCACCACCCGACACAGCCAATTAGTAAGGTTTGCCACGTTAACAGGACGTGCCAATTCGTTACTAGTACAGCACACCGGTGTGTTGGAGAGCAAATCCACAATATGTGATCCAGCACTGTAGAGGCAGCAGCAGCAACAGCAGCGAGGGGTTGGTGGATCACCGCACGGATGTTGTGAAGCTCCAGGAGGAGCCGGTACCCTGCCTCTGCCAGGGAACGGTGGTACAGCGGAGTGTGGATGCCACCCGTTCCGTCTGTACGGGATCGAGTGTTGCCCCTTTGCACGGACGTGTGAGTTTTAAGCGGCGGTAGCATCAATATCGGCAGCATTGTTGTCATGATGGGCGAGTAGCGGCTTGTGTTTTCCTCTGGCCCTTTGAGGCACGCGAGGGTGGCGTGCAGTGTTAGGACACATTCAAATCGAGGTCTAGACACCTCTCCTGCAACCCACGTGGTTGCTTGGGTTCCAACTTGACTGCGAGCAATTGAAGTGAGAGGGGGGCCTGGGTAGGACCCAGCGCGGTGGTTCGAGGTTGACTGCCGCCGGTTTCGGCGTAACGACCGGGGAGCGGCAGCCGGCAGGACGGACCGCGCCCGATGTGGACGCCCACCGGGGGAGAGAGACGGAGCGATGGAATGGGCTCGTGCCGTCGGTGCTACGCAGGTCGGAATCGTGGGACCGCGAGACACCCCGACGGTTTGGGGGAGAGGTCTTCGTCCAAACAGTCCACGCCACGAGGTGTTTCACGAACCCGCCTGGTAGACACGAGTTCGTGGGTTCGATCCCGACCCTGGCGCCTGTATGTGTCTCTCTCTCTCCCCGTGGTCGCGTAGATTTTTCTCCGGGTCCTCCCGTTTTTCCCTCCCCACATTTAGAATCGACGTCACGCTTCCAGAGTATTTGGCTGCTGCTATGTATGTCCACGTGGTGATAAGCCATTTATGATTTGTGATTTGCCAGGTTGCTTCTGAAAAAGAGCATTTTAGCTCAGTGGGCCTTACCGGGTTTAGTTTAGTTTTAGTTGATGGATCACAGTTCACGCACGACGGTAACGAAACTAACCAACCAATCGAACCAAGCAACGTCTCCCTCTCCCCTCACTTCCTGCGTGCCGCCCGCAGAACGTGCTGCTCACCCCAACGCAGCTCTTCCGCCTCGCCTGCGCCACCGACAAAGGCGAACCGCCACGGCCGCTTCTGCTGCGGCCGTCTGGCGCCGCGGCCCAGGGTGGCCTGCGCGAGGTTCGGTCCCGCCTGTGCCCGGCGGGGGCGGAGACGCAGGCGGCCGACGGCGCGGCCGGCGCTCCTCCGTGGCGGAACGACGGCGGCGGCGCCGGCGGCGAGGCGTTGGCGGCGTTCTCGAGCCTGGCGCTGGAGCTGAGGCAGCAGGTGGAGCCGGCGAAGGTGGTGCAACAGGTAGGGTAGCGGAATGGCGTGGGGGGAAAGAAGCCGCCATAGACGGTCGCTTATAATGATAAAGTCACGTAGGTAGAAGAAATAATAGTCTTCAAAAAATCTTAACCTGAAGACGGTTGCTTGTGTGGCGATTGAAACGTCGGGATCTATTGTTTTTTCCACCTACGTGACTTTACCGAAAGAACCCAAGAGTATGAATGCCTGCAGTCATTAAAGCTTCAAATCAAGAATAATATAATGATTTCGACTTGTACTGCTGTCGTACAGACGTAATGGTTTCGAGGCACCAGGAGGGGGAGCCACAGGTGAGTGGGAAGCCAGCAGCCACGCGCTGGTGAGAAGCCGGCGCTCCGACAGTTTCCTGAACTCCGCGGTCCTCTATATATGGAGGTGTTTATCGGCCAACGAAATGCGTGTTTTGTACGTGGGAGGAGGAAAATCGGAGCGCCCTGGAGAAAACTCACGCATGTGTGGGGGGCAGCACTTTACTCCGCACGGATGTAACAGATGGAGAATAGTCCGCACACTTTGCTGGCAATCCACCAACCCCCTCACTGCTGCGTGCTCTCCCGGTGGTCACGTGGATTTTTTTTCTCTCCAGGTCCTCCGGGTTTTTCCCCTCCTCATTTACGATCAACGTTCACTTCGTGTAGTATTTAGAGTTTTTGGCTGCAATGAAGTCCCACGTGATGAGCCACTTCGTTGAGTTATCATTCTTGGCCAGGCCAATTCTGAAACGGAAGCTAATTGCTCAGTGGGCTTTACCTGGTAAGATCAACATAGACATATATTTTTAGTGATTTCCGTTCCTCTCCTATACTTTGCACTCCTATTATGTTATCCTATTGTTTGTCGTCGTAACGTTCTAAACCTGGCCCCTACTGAACATCTGTGAAAAAGATCTTTACAGCTCATCGGATTTCTCCAGTGTAGATAAAGATTCTGATTCCTGTGGTCGATCAGGGGCCCCACGCCGCGTGCAGCGGCCGCGCCGCTCGCTGACGCGTTGCCACCCCCTCCCCCCACCACCCCCGTGCGGCAGCTGGACCTCGAGCGCATGAACGCCAGCGGCACGCGGCAGCGCCTGCAGGAGCTGCTGGAGGACGTGGGGCGGCTGCACAAGCTGCTGCGGGACATCCATCTGCTGTCGGGGCTGGCTCGCCTCCTCCCCAAGGGCGCCTGCGCCACCAGGCGGGGGACCGGCGCCACCTCCTCCCCGCAGGAGCCCGACGGCCACGGAGCCGGCAACGTAACCACCTTCGGCACGGGTGAGAAGCGGCGTGGCTGGCCCAGGCGGTGGGTGGCGGGGGGTGCGGTGGTCGCCCATCTTGAAACCCTCCAAACATTGGTATTGTTCGTATTGATATCTACCTCGAGAAAATGTAGTTCACGTATAAATGAATAATGATTGTAGGGGCCCCTGTTTAACAAGCGTGGCATTTCAGGACATCCGTCTTTCCCCCCCCCCCCCCCCACACTCGTTACGTGATGAAATGGGGGGCGGCGTTGTGATCAGAATCGGAATCTTTATTTAGACTGGAGGAATCCGATGAGCTATGAAGCTGTTTTCCACATATGTCCAGTTATGGGCAGGTTGTGATATGCGGGGTGACGACGCCGCTGCTTCCGTGCCCGCGAAGTCACTCCTCCCGCCACGCTTCCCTCCTTGCGACGTCACCACCGCACCTCTGATTAGCGCGGTTGGCTACGTGCGGTGCGAAGAAGTTCAACATTCATACTTACTGCGCATTGACTCAACACTGCCCATAGAGTCAACACTGCCCATAGACTCAACACTACCCATAGACTCAACACTACCCATAGACTCAACACTACCCATAGACTCAACACTGCCCATAGACTCAACACTGCCCATAGACTGAACACTACCCATAGACTCAACACTGCCCATAGACTCAACACTACCCATAGACTCAACACTGCCCATAGACTCAACACTGCCCATAGACTCAACACTGCCCATAGAGTCAACACTACCCATAGACTCAACACTGCCCATATACTCAACACTGCCCATAGACTCAACACTACCCATTGACTCAACACTGCGCATAGACTCAACACTGCCCATAGACTCAACACTGCCCATAGACTCAACACTACCCATAGACTCAACACTGCCCATGGAGTCAACACTACCCATAGACTCAACACTGCCCATAGACTCAACACTGCCCATAGAGTCAACACTACCCATAGACTCAACACTGCCCATAGACTCAACACTGCCCATAGACTCAACACTACCCATAGACTCAACACTGCCCATATACTCAACACTGCCCATAGACTCAACACTACCCATTGACTCAACACTGCGCATAGACTCAACACTGCCCATAGACTCAACACTGCCCATAGACTCAACACTACCCATAGACTCAACACTGCCCATGGAGTCAACACTACCCATAGACTCAACACTGCCCATAGACTCAACACTGCCCATAGAGTCAACACTACCCATAGACTCAACACTGCCCATAGACTCAACACTGCCCATAGACTCAACACTACCCATAGACTCAACACTGCCCATAGAGTCAACACTACCCATAGACTCAACACTACCCATAGACTCAACACTGCCCATAGACTCAACACTACCCATAGACTCAACACTGCACAGAGTCAACACTGCCCATAGACTCAACACTACCCATAGACTCAACACTGCCCATAGACTCAACACTGCCCATAGACTCAACACTACCCATAGACTCAACACTGCACATAGAGTAAACACTACCCATAGACGCCGCAGCTCCGATTATCACGGCTGGCTATGTACGGTGTGAAAGAAGTTCAACATATGTGCGTACGTACATGCGTGTGCCGGCGGTGGCAGGGAACGCGACATCGACGGCGGCGCCGCCGAACGGCACGGAGGGAGCGCCGCACGAGGATGCGGTGGCAGACGACGACGATGACGACGAGGACGCGGCGGATGACGGCGGCGGCAAGAACCACTTCTCGGGATTCGTGCGGCTCTGGGCCGGGCTGCAACCCATCCTGTGTGGGAACAAGCGGTGAGTGAGCGCCGTGCCGGCACGAGCGGAGACGCGGAGCGATGACGTCGCCTCTCTTGTATGGGGGGTGCCGTGGTGGCGAGGAGATGTTACCCACCTGAGCTCGTGGGTTCGATCCCGACCCCTGACGCCCGTTGTATATTTGGAGTTTGCGTGTTGTCCCCGTGGTCGCGTGGATTCTTTCTCTGGGTCCTCCGGTTTTTACCTCCACATTTAGAAGCAACATCACGCATTTATATTATTTAGCTGCTGTACATTTCCGCATTTTAAGCCCCTTCGTTGAGCTCTCATTTGTGGCCAGGTCGCTTTTGAAAGATTATTTAATAGCTTAGTAGGCTTGACCTGGTAAGAAAAAAAAGAGTTTAGTTTCATTTGTGTGTTTTTCTAGAAATGTTATGAACTGCCTTCTCCTGGCAGAGCCAGAGTTACGGCTCCTCCTACCTCCACAGCGCTGGATTACAGGCCACGCCACGTGCAGCGTCGCGGCCATCGCCACCGTGGTCGCCCCGGCTACGACCGCATTGACCTGCTGCGTTCTGCTGCTGCTGCTGTGCTCACAGAGAGATCAACCCGGAAGCGCTGAAGCAGGGGAACATGAGCTCCCTGGGCTTCACAAGCAAGGAGCAGCGCAACCTGGGCTTGCTTGTGCACCTCATGACGAGCAACCCCAAGGTTCTCTATGCGCCCGCCGGATCGCAGGCCGACCAGGTCATCCAAAAGGTGATGCGGAGTGCGACGAGAAGGGGTCTCGCCGCTGGCACGTCCGTCCACGTGCTCACCGCAGCGGTCGGCATGGCGCAAACATCCCCCCCCCGATCCCTCTGCTGAACCCCAACCCAATCCTAGATCGACGACAACGTCGCCCTCCTCACCATCCCCAGCATACTCCGTGACTCACCCCTGCCTGGCTCTCCCCTCTCATCTCACTCTACTCTTCTTCATGCACTCTCCTACCTCTCCCCTCTCATCTCACTCTACTCCCCTCCACGCACTCTCCTACCTCTCCCCTCTCGTCTCACTCTTCTCCCCTCCACGCACTCTCCTGCCTCTCCTCTCTCTTCTCACTCTACTCCCCTCCACGCACTCTCCAACCTCTCTCCTCTCATCTCACTCCACTTCCCTCCACGCACTTTCTGCTCCCTCTCCCCTCTCATCTCACTCTACTCGTCTCCACGCACTCTCCTACCTCTCCCCGCTGATCCCGCTCCACTTTCGCTGTAAGAACTATAGCACCAATACTACGTGTATTCAATTTCTATTATTAAATATGTACACTCGTTAATTCAGTACCCCCACTGTGTCTTCATGTCTCTGTGCCCCTGTGTCCCCACTGTCCCACGTGTCCCCACTGTGTACCTTGGTCCCCGTGTCCCGACCGCGTCCCCGCCGCATCGTCCGCAGGCGAACGAGACGTTTGCGTTCCTGGGGAACGTGACGCGCTACGCCCAGTTGTGGCTCAACGCCTCGCAGAAGATCCGCGCGGTGCTGCAAGGGGGCCAGCTCCACGACCACATGGGCTGGGGGCGCCAGGTGAGAACCCCTAATGCCGTACCCCTAGAGCCAAGGGGGTCCCTAACAACAACAACAACCGCCATTCGCCACGAAGTGGCGGTGACGTCACCACGGCACTTGTGTCAGGCTAGGTGCACTCTAAGGTCATGTGGAGTGTCGAATGATCGCTGGCAGGAGGTCACGGAACAGCCCCAAGTGCCATGGGTTAACTGACTGAGATGACTGGCAGAAGCGCCATCGGTGCTCCCCACTGTGCCAACTCGCCGCGTGTCCGCCGCCCAACGCTCCGCTTGCTGTTGTGAGCTTCGCTCCGCTGCCCTCCGCTAACGTTGGAGGGCGACTGCCTCAAATTGCCCAGCAGCGTCTTTCACGAGCCCCGGCCTCCAGAGAGGCCGATCGTGAAACCGCCGGTACCCCGTCATCGGCAAGCCTCCAACAACCGGCCATCGCGTCGCACTTCCCGGTGTGAGCGCGTTTTGTTTTTCCCCGCGTGCCACTGCGCCGCAGCTGGTGGAGGAGCTGTCGCGTCACCCGGAGCTGCTGAACCTGTCGGGCGGCCACCTCCGCCAGGGCCTCCTGGATGGCGCCGCGCAGCCCCTGCCCAACGCCTCCGTCGTGCTCAGGCAGCTGGACGTCATCGACAACGCAGCCTGCGGGTGGGCCCGCTTCATGTCCAAGGTGAACGACTGCGGCTGTGGTTGTGATGTTAGGTTAACACGGAGGCTTTCGCGACCATAATTATTCAGACGACGCACTTATATTCACGCGATGTAACCAAAAAACGTTTACTGTGAATAATTGTGGTGTTCATGATGGTGATTTGCCTGGAATGGTTATGATGATGACTGGTCGATAATGCATGTATGTTGAACTTCTTTAGTACCGTACGTAGCTAACCATGCTGATTTGGAGGTGATAATCATGTTGGTAATGGTGAGGAATTTGAACTTGATAGTGATGGTGCTGATGATGATTGATTGCCCTGTGTCTCTGCCTCATTAATGCAATTGACAATGTTGGTATTAAAGTTGTTGATAATGGTAATGTGATCCCAGGTCAGTGTGGACCTATTCCACGGATGATGATGACTTGTCTACGGTGATGATATTGACGATGACATTGATTTGTCTCCGGTCATGATTGATTTGGGAATTCAATGATTGCCAGCCGTGAAGAACTTCCATTCACTCCTGAAACTCAAGTTCCTTTCCCGCACCTCCGATTAGCACAGTTGGCTACGTACGCTGCAAAAGAAGTTCAACAGACATACATAGCATGTGACGCACGCATACCAATACTCGCTGTTTGTATTGCGACCCTGCGTAACCTTGCTCACAACTATCTATACTGTTCAACATCGGTGCCATCGCAGGACGCTCGTTAAAATCGAGCCGAACAGCTCATTGGGCCCTGCCGGCTGAAATTACACAAGATACAATAAAAATTTGGACGGTGGTGATTTTGTCTATCGCTAAGATGATAGGGGTGCGACGGTGGTGAGATTTTAACTACCTCGACTGGTGTGCAGGAGGTCGTGGGTTCGATCACGTCTGTATGTTTGGCATTTGCGTGGATTTTTTCTCCGGTTCCTCCGGTTCCTCCGGTTCTTCCCTCCATATTTATAACACATGGCTGCTATCAACGTCCACATGATGATAGACATTTTGTTGAGCTATCACCTGTGACCAGGTCGCTTCTGTAAAATAGCTACATACAGCTAAGTGGGCCTTCCTCATTGTTGGTAGTGTCGGCTACGGTGCGACAGAAGTTCAACATTCATACTACTCTACACTACGACACGCTACACTACTACACTATACACGACACTATTCCACACTACGCAACAATTACCTGATAAAATAAAAATAGTTTAGTTTTCATGTTGATGATGACGACAATGACGATGTTGTCGCCGCGTTCGCTGCAGGTGAGCGTCGATGTTTTCCGCGGGTTCCCCACGGAGGACGCCATCGTGAACTACACGCTCAACCGCGCCTACCACGAGAACGTCACCGTCTTCGCCAGTGAGCTCCCGAACCTCCTCGCCCTCCGGCCCCTCGCTGTAGAACGCGGACGGAAACGTGTCGCAGGTCCCAGGGGAGAATGTGCACACGCACTCCATACCGTCACTCGCGCTCTGGAGGATAGGGCACAACCCACACGCCTCTGATGAGCACGGTTGGCTATGTGCGGTGCGAAAGAAGTTCCACGTACATACAATACGTACGTACGTACGTACAAACTCCGCACCAAAAGGCGCCCCAGTCGGGAATCGAACCCGGGGGGGACCCTTCTTTCCGTGAGGCACGAGCGTCACTACTGCGCCACCACCACCACCACCTATGCTGTTGTCGTCATCGTTGTTGTCGTTGTTGTTCTTGTCATCATTGTCGTTGTTGTTGTGGTTGTTGTCGTCGTCATTGTTGTTGATGACCATGTCCACTCGCCTCCGCCCCCCCACCCCCCCGCCAGGCGTCATTTTCCAGACGGACCGGCACGGCGCTCTGCCGCCGCATGTCATCTACAAGATCCGGCAAAACTCGAGCTTCACGGAGAAGACCAACGAGATCCGGCGCGCCTACTGGAGGCCCGGACCCAACTCTGGTGGGCAGTACTACTTCTTCTATGGCTTCGTGTGGATCCAAGGTGAGAGAGAGGTGGGGCAGCAGCATCAGCGGTGTGCGTGTACTTACATATGCACGTTGAACTTCTTTCGCACCACCGTACGTAGCCAACCGTGCTAATCGGAGGTCTAGTGTTAGTCTATGGGCAGTGTTAGTCTATGGGCAGTACATATGTATGTATGTTGATCTTCACCTGGACCGTAGCTGGCACTAACAACAATTAGGAACGCCCACTGAGCTACATGGCTATTTTTCAGAAGCGACCTGGCCACACATGATAGTTCAACGAGAAGTGGCTAATCATGTGGAAATTCATAACAGCAAAAATATCTAAATGCATGTTCATTCTAAATGTGGAGGGAAAAACCGGAGGACTTGGAAAAAAATCTACGCGACCATGGGGAGAGACATGCAAATTGAAAATGTGCAGGCGTCAGGGTTGGGATCCAACCCACGACCTCCTACATACCAGGCGAACTCGTTAAAATCTCGCCAAGGTAGTGAACATATCTTGCTCACGTTAGTTTTTAACGGAGTCCCTTTGTGCCGTCGTGTGCGTGCTGGCAGACATGATCGAGCGAGCGATCATCAACACGTTCGTTGGGCACGACGTGGTGGAGCCCGGCAACTACGTGCAGCTCTTCCCATACCCCTGCTACACACGTGACGAGTGAGTGCTCCTGCTCCCTGCCAGCTACTGTGAGGATTGTGAATGCTCCAGCTCCCAGTGTGGTTGAGTGTTCTCTGTGTCGGTTTGTGTTTGTAGCCGTGAACGCATAGCCGCCTGGCACCGGCAGTGGTGCCGTTTCTCTCACTCTCTCTCTCCCTCTCTCACGCGCAACTGCGCCACAGCTTCCTGTTCGTCATCGAGCACATGATGCCGCTGTGCATGGTCATCTCCTGGGTCTACTCCGTGGCAATGATGATCCAGCACATCGTGGCCGAGAAGGAGCATCGTCTGAAAGAGGTGAGGGTTTGAGCATCGGCGGGAATGCTGTGGTGACACCGGCGTGCCGCCGGGGAGTGGACGGGAGTGGAGGCACACAGCCGTTGCGCTACTCGGTGAGCAAAGTGGACGATCATCCCCTGAGTAGGCGTGTGGGGATCGGTGGCAACGACGCTGCTGATGATTCCAGGTCCCTGTCGCCAGGCCATGATGGGGCTGAGTAACGCGATGGTGACGATGGTGACGACGATTATGATGTACATACGTTGAACTTATTTCGCGCCGTAGCCAACCGTGCTCATCGGAGGTGCGGGGGAAGGACAACAAACTAACGCACAAAAAGCAGTGCCACAGTGGTGGTGACGATGACGCCAGATCCCTGCAGCAAGGTCGTTTAAGATGGTGGGGCTGAGGAACGCGGTGATGCTGACGACGATGACGATAGTTTTGATGATGACGATTGGCACGATGCCGGTTCTCCCATTTCCAGGTGATGAAGATGATGGGTCTGAGTAACGCGGTGCACTGGGTGGCGTGGTTCATCACGGGCTTCCTGCAGCTCTCCATCACCGTGGCAGTGCTCACCGTCATCCTCAAGTACGGCCAGGTGCTCATGCACAGCGACATCTTCATCATCTGGCTCTTCCTCACCATCTACGCCCTGGCCACCGTCATGTTCTGGTGAGTGGCAGTAACCAGCAGCAGCAGCGCCAGCAGCGGTGTTAATCGAAGGGCAAACGCGGTCGTCGGCGACGTTGCAGAGAATATAAATAACTAAATAGAATTGATAGAAATTCATAATAAAGATTCTTGGCTTAGATCGCGTAAATATGAACGGGTCGTTAACCTGCCACCACCCGACACAGCCCATCGGCTAGGTTTGTCACGTAAACAAAACGTGCCAATTAGTGACTACTTCAGCACACCGCTTGTGTGTTGGAGGTTGAACACTCAACATTTGCCATTTGAGTCCTGTGACGTTTTGCTGGTAGTTACAACAACAACCAGCTTCATCAGGCAGTGAAGCTGAAACACTGTGCAGCCGCTGCACGGTAGTCGTTCCGTGCTCTCGTAGAGAGAGAGAGAGCGGACGACTCGTAGAGAGAGAACGGACGACTCGGAGAGAGAATGGACGAGGAGCGAGAAGGCAGCCGTTGCACGATGAACCCGGCACCAACAATTGTCTAAGCTCTGCAGTTCTCTGTACATGAAGGTGTTATCGGCCAATTAATGAGCATTTACTTGTGAATTAAGCAGTCTGTTGCCTCTATCTGTCTCTCAACGTAAAAAGGAAATGGTTTTACACATCCCAATTCAAGCAAATCTCTGGACCGGTTTTGGCACACACGGTCTCGTCAGCAGAGTCGGGTTTGCTGGCAATATTGGTTCCACACAACCAAAATCCCTGGACCGGTTTCAAATGAGTGCCTTGCCAGCCTTCACAGGTGCTATGCGCTGACAGCACCTGCCCCAAAAGTCTCTTGAGGCTATACGGGGGATCTTCGTCTTGTGTGTATACTCAGCTTCCTGGTGAGTGTGCTCTACTCGAAGGCGCGCATGGCAGCGGCGTGCGGGGGCATCATGTACTTCCTGAGCTACGTGCCGTACATGTACGTCGCCATCCGTGAGGAGGTGGCGCACGACAAGATCACGGCCTTCGAGAAGTGCATCGCCGTGAGTCTCACTGGGGCGGCGGCTCCTGGTGCAGTCCACACGCACGGCCACACCACACACACACACGCACAGACCGCTGTGGCCAGACTACACACACACGCACGCACAGACCCAATGCGGCCACACCACACACACACGCACAGACCCCACGTGACCAAACCACACACACGCACAGACCCCACACGGCCACACCACACACACACAGCCAGAACTCGCACACACACACGGCCAAACCACACACACACAGACCCCACGTGACCAAACCACACACGCACAGACCCCAAATGGCCACACCACACACACACAGCCAGACCTCGCACACACAAGGCCAGACCCCACACATGCGTCCAGACTACACCCACACTCGCACATGGACAGACTCCTCTTGCCTCCTCTCTCCTTTCTGCCACACCACTTGCAGGAACCATGTAATGAATAAGACGATGACGATGATGCAACATCCAAACTGTGAATTTCTCTCTCCCTCTCCCTCCTGCTCAGTCACTCATGTCCACCACGGCGTTTGGCCTGGGAGCGAAGTACTTTGCGCTGTACGAGGTGGCCGGCGTGGGCATCCAGTGGCACACCTTTCGCCAGTCGCCCGTTGAGGGAGACGACTTCAACCTCTCGCTCGCCCTGCTCATGCTGCTGCTGGACAGCGTGGTGTACGGCGTGCTCACCTGGTACATCGAGGCCGTGCACCCAGGTACGTGCGTGCGCGTGCGAATGGGTAGCGGCGGTGCAGCGGTTAGTGCTCGCTGCGCTGTGACACCGTGTGTGTGTGTGTGTGTTTGACCCCCGTGTGTGTGTGACTCCTGTGTGTGTGGGGAGTGGTAGTGTATCATTTAGCGCTCGCTGCGCTGTGACCCCTGTGTGTGTGACCTGTGTGTGGGGAGGGGCAGTGTATTGGTTAGCGCTCGCTGCGCTGTGACCCCTGTGTGTGTGACCCGTGTGTGGGGAGGGGTAGTGTATTGGTTAGCGCTCGCTGCGCTGCGAGCCCGCTGACTAATTCGATTCTCTCTCACCACGACCAACAGTGGTGACGATATTCTGAATAAGTCCAGAGCGTCTCCTCGGTCGACTCAGCCTTAAATGAGTACCTGGCATGGTGTGTAAACATCGCCACTAGGGAGACAAAGGTGGCCGGGCGTGGTGCTTGCCACCCACCCCTTCGTGTGCCGTACCGGCCTTCATAGGTGCTATTCGCTAATGGCACTTGCCCCTAAAGTCCGTCAAGGCTACACTGGAGAACTTTGTCTTTGCCTTTAGGCACGTACGGGCTGCCCCGGCCCTGGTACTTCCCCCTGCAGCGTTCCTACTGGCTGGGCAGCGGCCGCGCCGACGCCTGGGAGTGGAGCGGCTGGCCGTGGGGACGCGGCGGCGGCGGCGCCGGTGGAGCCGCGGGGCTCAGCATCACCGAGGACGACCAGGCGTGCGCCATGGAGAACCGCCACCGCGGTGAGACCCGTGCCGGGCTGCGCGACTCCCGGCAGCGTGCGACTCGCGGCCGTGCGCGCGATCCCCGGCTGCGCGCGTGACTCGTGGCTGTGTGTGCCGTAGACGAGGCGCGTGGGATGGAGAAGGAGCCCACGCACCTGCCCCTCGTGGTGTGCATCGAGCGCCTCACCAAGGTCTACAAGACGGGGAAGAAGCTGGCGCTCAACAACCTGTCGCTCAACCTCTACGAGAACCAGATCGTCTCCTTCTTGGGCCACAACGGCGCCGGCAAGACCACCACCATGTACGACACGCGCACAAACACGGAGACCCTCCGTGTAGCCTTAACAGACCGTTGGGGCAAGCGCTGTTAGCGAGTAGCACCTATTGAAGCCGGCACGGCACACGAGAGAGGATGGGTGGGGACAGCACAACGCCAAGGCCGCGTTTGTATCCTCGGTGGCGATATTTTACTAGACACCGCACCAGGTGCTCATTTTAGGGTTGAGTCTACCTAGGGGAGGCCCAGGACCAGTTCGGATAATAGTCACTGGTGCTGGTGGCCGTGAGCAGCAATCAAACTCGGGTCCCCGGGTTTGTCGCGCAGCATCCTAACCGCGACACCGCACGCACACACGCACACACGCACACACGCGCACACACGCAATGTCTTCACCTTTGCTGCGCCCGTCCCAGGTCCATCCTGACGGGGCTCTTTCCGCCCACGTCGGGCTCGGCGCGGATCTACGGCCACGACATCCGCTCGGAGATGGACGCCATCCGCAAGAGCCTGGGCATGTGCCCCCAGCACAACGTGCTGTTCGACCAGCTCACCGTGGAGGAGCACCTGTGGTTCTACTCGCGCCTCAAGGGCATGCAGGCCCACGACATCCGCATCGAGACCGACAAGCGAGTGTCCCACCCTCCCCCCACCCCCCTCCTGGCCTAGCTCCGCACGCACGCGCACGCACGTGTACCCGCAGACACGTGCACGTGTACCCTCAGACACGTGCACGTGTACCCGCAGGCGCATGCACATGCACACATGCAATTGCACGCGTGCAACTGCACACACGCCCGCAGGCACGCGCGCCTGCACGCGCGCATGTGAATGCGCGCTCGCAGAGAAAACGACGCCTCCTATTGAGATGGGACGGCACAGACACACGGAGCGGTGATGATGATGATGATGATGGGAGCAGATGATGTTTCCCTACACATCTACAACGTCTCAGTGGTGGGTATATGTTTAGCTGAGACAGACACCCCCCCCATCACTATAGCAGCCTTTAACAAGCTGTTGGGACAAGTGCTGTTTGCAAGTAGCACCTATAAAGGCCGGTACGGACCACAAGGGGGTGGGTGGCCAACACCACTCCCGGCCACCTTTTGTCTCCCCAGTGCCGATGTTCATCGCACAATTCCCCGTGCGATGATTTATAGCCAAGTCGACCTTGGGGAAATCCCAGGACCGTTTCAAATATTCAAATGTGTGAACTGCAACGATGATGATTTTCTCCCTGCCCCCCCAACTCCTCCACCTCCTAGGATGATCGAGGACCTGGAGCTGAGCAACAAGCGGCACAGCAAGGCGTTGTCGCTGTCGGGAGGGATGAAGCGCAAGCTGTCGGTCGCCATCGCCTTCGTGGGCGGCTCGCGCGCCGTCATCCTGGACGAGCCCACGGCCGGCGTGGACCCGTACGCACGCCGCGCCATCTGGGACCTCATCCTCAAGTACAAGCAGGGTGAGGTGCCCACGACCGGCATGCAGAGGGGGGCGGGGGATGAGGAGGAGGCTGGTAGGCCGAAACCCGCTCCCAAACCATGTCCGCGGCGGACGCAGCGGCGGTGAGGAAGGGGGCGGGGGAGGCATTACGTCGGTGGGACAGGTGGCTCGTCCTATTTGCTGCGGGGCTCGCGTTCGGCAGTGCTAGGAGCCGCGCACGTTGGTTGGCAGAGCAGGATCTCGCACGATCTAACTCTTTCCCATTCCGATGACGTACGTGTACGTCATCTTCCGGTTCCGTTGCGATGACGTACACAACATAAATACATTCCATCGGCTCCGAGATTCGGGGGTGAACGGGACCCCCCCTCCACCCTGCAACTTGCAGACGTCTCGGAACGGGAAGAGAGTGAACACGGTGCTTGTCCTGATGGTACTGGGCCCTGAGTGTCCGTTCCATTGAACTTTTCCTTCGTAAGTACGTTGAACCTCTTTTGGCAGTGTACGTAGCCAGCCGTGCTAATCGGAGGTTCCTCGCGGTGTGGGGGGGTGGTTTGTCATCTTTGGTGAAGGCCGCACGATCCTGCTGTCCACGCACCACATGGACGAGGCGGATCTGCTGGGGGACCGCATCGCCATCATCTCCCACGGGCGGCTCAAGTGCTTCGGTTCGCCGCTCTTCCTCAAGAGCACCTTCGGCGACGGGTACCACCTCACGCTCGTCAAGCAGCAGAGCGGCGGTGAGAGGGGGCGAGAGGGGGTGATTTTTGATGATGATGATGACAAGGATGACGACGATTGACGATGGCGATGACAATTGCGGTGGTGGTGATGATGATGACGACGATGCTATCTGTTGGCAGCGGAGCCGCAAGGCTGCGCCGCCGACGTCACCGCAGCCACCTCGTCGGCCTCTTCGTCCTCCTCCACGTCGTCGTCGTCGCGCGGGAAGGGCGGCGGAAGCTCCCCGGGGGCGGGGGGTGCCGGTGGTGGTGGCGGCGGGGGCGAGAGCCCATGCCGGGAGCCGCGGGTGACGCGCTTCATCTGCCGCGTGGTTCCCGCCGCGACCCTGCTGTCCGACTCGAGCACCGAGCTGTCGTACGTGCTGCCCGCCGATGCCGTGCGCAAGGGCTGCTTCCAGAAGCTTTTCCAGGTGGGCGAGCGGCGACGACGACGCCGCTCTGATTGTCGCAGCCGCCACGATTCCGATCGTTCACGTGGGGAAATAAATGAAAAAGTAAAAAAATGTCACATTTATTTTACCAGGTAAGGCCAACTGAGATCATCATCATCATTCGCAGTGGCTTTTGGTTGGTCTAGCGGTGGACGGCTGGGAGCAGGAGCACTCGCTCGCTCGATCATGTCTGCCAGTGCGCACACAACGGCACAAAGGGTCTCCGTTAAAAACTAACGTGAGCAGAAGATGTTCACTACCTTGGCGAGATGTTAACTCCCTCGCCTGGTATGCAGGAGGTCGTGGATTAGATCCTGATCCTGACGCTTGCTGTCTCTTTCTCTCTCTCTGTGTTTTTTTTTCCTCCACTTTTTAAATCGACGTCATGGCTGCAATCAATATACACACGACAGTGATGATGATGGTAGTAAGCCACTTCGTTGAGCTGTCATTTGAGGCATGAGCAGTACCACTGCGCCGCCGCCACCACCCTGCCATCTTCATCATCTCTGCTCTCTTGATGCAACAAATGTTTGGCCGTGTCTGTGTGTGATCCCTTGTTGGGGGAGCGGTGGCGCCGTGGTTCGCGCGATGCACTATGAAACCCAGCGACTGGAGTTCGATTCCCGTTCATGACCAATAACGATGAAATGTTTTAACCGTTTCTGGGCCTCCCCTAGGTCAACTCGGCCTTACATAGGCACCTTGTGTGGAGTGTAAATGTCATCACTGTGGGAGACCAAGGGGGCCGGGCGTGGTGGTGGCCAGCCTTCATAGGTTGCTTCGCGCTAAGAGCACTTGCCCAACAACGGTCTGTTGAAAAACTATATGGGGGGATCTTCGTATTTGTCCCTTATTAGGCCCTGGAGGAGAATTTGATTGACTTGGAACTGAGCAGCTTTGGTCTGAGCGACACCACGCTGGAGGAGGTGTTCCTGAAGGTGTCGGAAGAGGACTTATCCCAGGAGGCGATGGATGGTGAGGTCTCCGACCACACACACACACACCACCACTACCGTTGCCACAGCTGTCCACTGCCATCGCCACCATCACCACCACTGCTGCAGACGAGGAAGTTGTACCCTAGCCCTGCCAGGAGAAGGCGGTACAGCAACAACGTGGACACCACCTGTTACGTCTGTACGGGGATAGAGTGTTTCCCCCTCGCATGTGTAGGTTTTCTCCGGGTGCTCTGGTTTCCTCCCACATGTGAGTGCTCGTTAATTGGCCGATAATACCATAAACTATTTAAACTATATAAACTACATTTATTTTACCAGGTTTGGCCCACTGAGCTGTGTAGCTCTTTTTCAGAAGCGACCTGGCCACAAATGAAAGCTCAATGAAGTGCCTTATCACGTGGACATTTATAACCGCCAAATACTCTAAACACGTGATATTGATTTCTAAATCTGGAGGTAAAACCGGAGGACACGGATAAAAATCCACGTGACCACGGGGAGAGAAAGTGACACACAAACTCCAAATATACAGCTGGCGTCAGGGTCGGGATAGAACCCGCGACCTCCTGCGTACCAGACGAGGTAGTTAACATCTCGCCACCGTGCCGCCCCACTGTCACCATCACTACCACTAAAGACGAAGATCCCCGTACAGCCTTAACAGACTGTTTGGTCACGGCGCTGTTAGCGAGCGCCACCACCATCACCGCCAGCCTCGGTGCGAGGCGGCCGCGTGCGGGGCCCAGGGCGCTCGGCGTTTTGTGCGAGGCACCGCTCTCGTCCCTCGTCCCTGTCTCAGAAGAGGACGCGAGGAGCGGCGGCGACGACTCCGCCTCCGCCACCGCCGCCGGCAAGACCGGCGCTCGCTCCGCACGCTCGCCGGGCCGCGGCGCCCGCGGAGCTCGTCCCGCGGCGGGGATCGACGAGGAGGACGAGGAGGAGGAGGAGGACGACCAGGACGTGGGCTCGGCGGGAGGGACGAGCGGCACGTCGCCCGGGTCGTCGTCGTCGGTGGGCTCGGTGCGCGGGGACGAGTTTAGCGCGTACACCGTGTCCGGCGAGTACGGCCCGCTGCTCGCCCGCGCCGGACATGACGACGCCGACACCGCCAGCCTGCGCGGTGAGAGGGCCCCGGCTGTTGTGGGGGGAGGGGGGGGGGCGGCACGTGGGTGTGCCACAGTGACGAGATGTTCACTACCTCGCCTGGTATACAGGAGGTCGTGAGTTCGATCCCGACCCCGGACACCTGTATATTTGTAGTTTGAATGTCTCTCTCTCAACGTCACGCGTTTTAGAGTATTTGGCTGCTGCTATAAATGTCCACGTGATGATGAGCCCATTTCGTTCAGCTATCATTTGTGTAGGTCTCATTTGAAAAAGAGCTACATAGCTGAGTGGTGCCTTACCTGGTAAAGTTTAGTTTAGTATATGTACATCGCTGTACATCTAATCTATGGGGGAGTGGTAGTGTAGCGGTTAGGGCGTGCTGCCGCTATGACGACCTGAGTTTGATTCCCGGTTCCCGGGCCTCCTCCCCTAGGTCGATTCGGCATCAAATGAGTACCTGGTGCAGTATGTAAACATCACCGCTTGGGAGACAAAGGTGGCCTGGCGTGGTGATGACCACCCACCTCCTCTTGAGCTGTGCCGGCCTTATTAAGGGCTACTCGCTACCAGCACTTCCCCCAACAGTCTGCTAAAGCTGAATGTGAGAGCTTTGTTTTCTCTTCGTTATGGGGAGTCGAGCAGCAGTCGCACACAGCGCACCGTTGTCCCGGAGCCTCGTCCGGACCTCTCGTGGGTCGGCTCAAAGTCAACAGTCTGTTAAAAGCTCCAAAGGGATTGGGGGGGGGGGGGCACTCTGCATTTGTACATCTAATATTTCACGTGTAGCCACCTAATTGTGTTGTGTAATTGCGCTTACCGTGTCCGTGCACCGCTGCCGCCGTCGACCCAGAGCCGGAGCCGCGTGCCACGCCATCCCCGGAGCTCGACGGCCAGGGCAGCTACTCGCTGGACGAGTCGTGGCTGCGCCTGCGGCAGTTCCACGGCCTGCTGGTCAAGCGGCTGCACCACGCCAAGCGCAACACCAAGGGGCTCTTCTCCCAGATCCTGCTGCCCGCCTTCTTCGTTTGCGTCGCCATGACGGTGGCGCTTTCCGTGCCCGAGATCAGTGCGTGGCCTCAACCCCCCCCCCGCTCGCCCCAAACTCCCCCTGCTAGCCTCCCCTTAGTACCTGGTGTGACGTGTAAACATCGGCACTGGGGAGACAAAGGCAGCCGGGTGTGGTGGCTAGCAGCACCTGCCCCAAGAGTCTGCCAAGGCGACACGATGGAGATGGGGTGGCCAGATGTTAACTACCTCACCTGGTACACAGGAGGTCATGCGTTTGATTTTGATCCTGTATAGTTGGAGTTTGCGTGTCTCTTTTTTCGTGCTCATGTGGATTATTCTTCGGGTCCTCTGATTTTTCCCTCCACATTTAGAATCAGCGTCACGCGTTTAGAGTATTGGCTGCTATACATTTCTACACAATGATGATGATGATGATAAGCCACTTCATTGAGCTATCATTCGTGGTCAGGTCGCTTCCGAAAAAGAGCTACACAGCTCAGTTAGGGGCCTATAATAGTTTCTAGTTTAATCTTGAACTCGCCCATGCGCCGTCTCTGCCCGTGTGACCCTAGGCGACCTCCCCCCGCTGGTGCTGACGCCGTCGCAGTACCACAACTATACGCAGCCACGGGGCAACTTTGTGCCCTTCGCCAACGAGGAGCGCAAGGAGTACCGGTGAGGGGGGTGGGGTGGGCGTGAGAGGAGGGGTGGGCATGAGGGGAGGGGCGGGCGTGGGGTGGTCTCAGTGGGGCTGGGCCGGTGACCCTGCCGACACGGCCATTGTGATTCCCCATGTGAGGAAGACTTCCGACCCCAGAGCTCAGTTTTCTCAATGCGTGGATCTCTTTCGTGAGAGAGAGCGACTCGGAGTCGTTCCTTCTCGCTTTCTCTCTCCGAGAGAGAGGGGACGACTCCGGGAGAGAGAGAGAGAGAGGGGGTGACTCCGAGAGAGAGAGAGGGGATGACTCCGGGAGAGAGAGAGAAGGGACGACTCCGGGAGAGAGAGGGAGGGGAAGACTCGGAGGCGCGAGGGGGAGGAACCACTAGATGAGTACAGAGGTAGCAGCAGCAACAATTGCCCAAGCTCTGCGGTCCTCTATGTACACGGTGCTGTTATCGTCACACGTGCTGAGGTGTGGTTACTGACCGTGCTTGTGCACCACTGCTACCAGATACCGTGTGTCACAGAATCTTTCATCACGGAGCCGAGTGCATCCATCGTCAGAGATGGAATTCGGCAAAATTAAGCGCGGAAAATAATTTCATTTGAGGTGTCTATAGTTTTTTTTTGTGTAGCCGTTGCTAACCAGTTCATCAGCTCCCACTGCGCTTGAGAACCCGGTCTAAGGTCTAACCACAGCTTGGCCTGCGTGAGTCCATGGCGTCTGCTGTGTGATACTATGGGGGTTCCTATGTGAGACTGTGGCTCTCATATGCGAGTCTGTGGAACATGCATGCGAGCCCCTGGGGTCTCTGTTCCGTGAGACCACCACACTTGAGAAACGCGGCTTTGATCGCGGTGGTCGGGCAGTTAAAGCCCGGATTGTAACCCAGGCTCGGCACTCTGACCCTCCGAGCCCACCATGCGGCCCTTTACGCAGCTCCCTCTTCAACTAAAATCTTGTTTTCCTCTCACGCCACCGCTGCCCAGCCTGGCTCGCTCCCCCGACGCCCGCCCCCAGCAGCTGGTGTCCACCTTCCGCCTGCCCTCGGGACTGGGCGCCACGTGCGTCCTCAAAAGCCCCGCCGGCCCCGCGGCGCCGGCGGCGACGGCGGCGTCCGGCGCCAACGGCAGCAGCGCGGAGGCGGCGGAAGCGGCGGCGGTTCAGACGGCGAACCTGAGCGAGGCGGCGCGCTCGCTGGCGGCGCGCCGCTTCGAGTCCATGTGCCTCGACTCGTTCACGCAGGGCGTGCCGCTCTCCAACTTCGTGCCGCTGCCGGTGGCCGAGCCCAGCGCCGGTCCGTCGCTTCCTCCGTCGCCGCCGGCGCCGTTTGGCGGGACCGCCACGGTCGCGGCTCCCGCGGCAACCGCGGCGGTGACCGATCGGGGGGAAGGAACGAGCGGCGTTGGACCTACCGGCACTACCGGCACCTCCTCTTCCTCGTCCGGTGAGAGCGATGGGGACGGTTGCGGCCAGGGGCGTTAATCGCTCACGGGAGGTTTTCAAGGTCGCTGATGAACCCCGCGAGAGAGAGAGAGACACACACCCAGGAACTCCGTGAGCCCAGTTCTGGGCTCGGTGTTTCTGCTCGCGAACGGCACTTGCCCCAACGGTCTGTTAAGGCTACACGGGGGATCTTCGTCTTTGTGGTGGTGTGGCCGCGTGCCGTTCGCCCCGCCGCAGGCTCTGCGGTGCACGAGGCGGTGCGCTGCGTGTGCGCCCCGCACGGGACCGGCTTCTACTGCCCGACCGGCGCGGGCGGACACCCGCCCAGCACCACCGTGGTGACGGGAGACATCCTGCAGGACGTGAGCGGGCGCAACGTGTCCGAGTACCTGCTGTTCACCTCCAACCAGTACCGCTTGCACAGGTGCTGCTCGGCGTCTCTGATGGGGGTCTCTGGGCATTGACAGACAGACAGGTCTATGATAGAGTCTCTAGACAGTCAGACAGACAGGTTTATGATGGAGTGTCTAGACAGACAGACAGACAGGTCTATGATTGGGGTCTCTATACAGTCAGACAGACCAGTCTCTGATGCAATGCTGAGACGTACAGGGCAGTCTCTGGTGGAGTCTTCTAGATGGTCAGGAATCGACCATTGGCAGCTGCAGTTGGCTGCACTGATTGTTGGTATCTCGTCAGGTATGGCGCCATTACCTTTGGAAACATCCGCAAGTCCATCCCACACTCCTTCGTCAACAAGGCCCCCGCCTCGATCCGCAAGATTGCCGTGCGACGGGCAGCACAGGTTCGCATTTCTGCTGCAGCAACATCAAACTTTATATAAGCTATTTCTTATTTTACTGGTTAAGGCCCCCCACTGAGCTACAAAGCTCTAACTTTTCTACCTGGCTATCACAAATGATAGCTCAACGAAGTCGCTTGTCATCATATGCAAACTTGTATCAACCAAACACTCTAAATGCACGTAGATTTTAAATGTGGAGGGAAAAGCCGGAGGACCCGGAGAAAAATCCACGCGGCCACGGGATCAAACCCATGACCTCCTGCATACCAGACGAGGGAGTTAACATCTCGCCACCACGGCCGTTCGCGACTGCGATCACCGTACGTTTCTCTTTGGCTGTGGCCTCCGCCGGTGACCTCGTGTCCCTCCCCGTGTAGGTCTACTACAACCACAAGGGCTACCACAGCATGCCCACCTACTTGAACGTCATCAACAACGCCATCCTGCGCGCCAACCTGCCCAAGAGCAAGGGAAACCCTGCCGCTTACGGTGACCGTTTTAACGTCGTGACATGCATCGCGTCCGTCCGTCTTTCGATAACGATGATTCTCGTAGAGATGTGTGTACGTGTGTGTGTGTGTGTTCAACTTCTTTCGCACCACTGTACGTAGCTAATTGTGCTAATCGGAGATGATCTGCAATGAGGTCACTGATCGGTGGCTCGTGCGGTTTCCCCGTTGCAGGAATAACGCTCATCAACCACCCCATGAACAAGACCAGCGCGAGCCTCTCCCTTGACTACCTGTGAGTCACACGGCCCTCCCTGCAGGATAAGAGTTGTCGGGGTGCCACGATGGCGAGATGCCATCTCCCTCTCCTGGTATGCAGGAGGTCGTGGGCTCAATCTCTTCGACCCTCGCACCTGCTGCATATTTGGAATTTGCGTGTCTCTCCCCGTGGTCGTGTGTATTTTTCTTCGGGTCCTCCGGTTTTTCTCTCCACATTTAGAATCAACATCACGCATTTAGAGTATTTGGCTACTGCTATAAATTTTGACATGACAAGCCACTTCATCGAGCTATCGTTAGTGGCCAGGTCGCTTCTGAAAAGAGCGATATAGCACCGTGGGCCTTACCTGGCAAAATACTAAGTAAATAAATATACGGGCGTGGCTTGGGCTGGAGAAGAGATTGTTGATGCGGTACAGGAGGATGTGAAGCTGGTTTTACTTGCCGATGACTAGTACCAGCTGTTTCAAGAACGGCCTCCGTGGAGGAGGTTTGTGAAGGGCGCTACCAGGCAATGTGAGACGTGGCGCACTTTGACGTTACTGGGCAGTCGGAGGCAGCCACCCTCCAACAACAACGAGGGCAGGGGAGCGACGCTCGCAACAACGAGTGGAGCGCCGGGTGGAAGTGGGGAGCACACGTGCTGTGGCAAACGGCGGCTGTTGTCGTTGTCGCTGCTGCTGTTGAGTCAGGCTGCAGGGCACGGACGTGGTGATCGCCATCTTCATCATCGTGGCCATGTCGTTCGTGCCGGCCAGCTTCGTGGTCTTCCTGGTAGCTGAGAAGTCCACGAAGGCCAAGCACCTGCAGTTCGTCAGCGGCTGCGACCCGGTCATCTACTGGCTTGCCAACTACGTGTGGGACATGGTCAGTGGCGTCTCGCATGCGGTGCGCATCTCGGAGTGACTCGCACGCCGACTCGCTAATTGACTGACTGACCGACTGATTGGCCGACCAACTTTCTGCCTGACTAAATTACCGACTCGCTGATTGACTGACCGGCTGACTGACTGATCAATGAACTTATTGCCTGACTAACTTACCAACTCGCTGATTGACTGACCGGCTGACTGACTGATCAATGAACTTATTGCCTGACAAACTTACCAACTCGCTGATTGACTGACCGGCTGAATGACTGATCAATTAATTAATTGCCTGACTAACTTACCAACTCGCTGACTGAGTGACCGACCAACCGACCGACTAACCAAGAAACGTCTTGCCTGACTAACTAACCGAATCGCCGATCGACCGAGCAAGCGTGTGGCCGTGTGCCGCTTGTGCTGCAGCTGAACTACCTGGTGCCCGCCACGTTCTGCATCATCATCCTGTTTGTGTTCGATCTGCCGGCCTACACCTCGCCCACCAACTTCCCAGCCGTGCTCGCCCTCTTCCTGCTCTACGGGTGAGGAAGCACGACGCCACTCCCCTCCACTCCCCCACTTCCCCCACCCCGGCCGTCTCCACACAGGCACAAGGCGGGGCATGGCACGGCACGGCACGCACCATGAGACATGGAAGGACGCACGCCCATATCACGGCGCCAGGGAGAAACTAAAAAAGTGATTTTAACTGTTTTTTTATTTTACCAAATAAGGCCCGCTGAGCTATATAGCTATTTTTCAGAAGCGATCTGGCCACAAATGATAGGTCAACGAAGTGGCTCATCGTCATCATCACGTGGACATTTATAGCAGCCAAATGCTCTAAGCGCATGTATCTAAATGTGGAGGGGAAACGTGAGGACCCAGAGAAAAATCCATGTGACCACAGAGAAACATGCAAAATCCAAATATACAGGCATCTGTGTCGGGATCGAACCCATGACCTCCTGTATACCGGGCGAGGTAGTTAACATCTACAGACAAAGGCAGCCAGGAGTGGTGCTGGCCACACCACCCGCTCGCGCGCCGTGCCGGCCTTCATAGGCGCTCACTAACAGCACTTGCCCCAACAGCTTTGAAGGCTAGACGGGGCGCTGTTTGTCTTCGTACGTGCGTGTGTGTGTGTGTACGTACCTGGTGCGACCTGTAAGCATCAGCACTAGGGATACAAAGGCAGCTGGGCGTGGTGCTGGCCGCCACTCCCTCGTCTGCTGTGCTGTTCTGATGCTGTCTAACGGCACTTGCCCTGACGGTCTGTCAAGGCTACATGGGAGATCTTTGCGTGCGTGCACACAGCTGGTCCATCACCCCCATCATGTACCCGGCGTCGTTCTGGTTCGACGTTCCCAGCACGGCCTACGTCTTCCTCATCGTCATCAACCTCTTCATCGGCATCACGGCCACCGTCGCCACCTTCATGCTGCAGCTCTTCGAGCATGACAAGGTGAGGGCGCCGCTGCCCCCCGCCGTTTCTTCCCCGCCTCTGCTGCACCTACTGTCCAAGGCTCGCCTACCCCGGCCATCCGCGCCCATCCACTCCCTGCCCCTGTTGAAGCCCAGCATTGAGATTGTTGTCCTCTTCTGCTCTGCTGCCTATGATTGTGTGTGGAGGGGTGTAGAGAGAGACGAGAGGGGAGAGGCAGGAGAGTGCGTGGAGCGGAGTCGAATGAGATGAGAGGTCGTAGAGGGGAAAAGAGTGAGATGAGAGGGGGAGAGGCAGGAGATTGCATAGAGGAGAGTAGGGTGATATGGCAGAACAAGGGTACAGCTCTTCCTCGACGCCTACCCACGGGAAGGGCTACATTTGTGCGGTGATCCACCAACCCTCGCTGCTGCCTCCACGGTGCGGCATTCCAGGCCACGCCGTGCTCGGCATCGTAGCCACCACTGTGTTCTGATGAACAGTCTCAAGTGTGCTGTTGCTGCTGCTGTTGTTTTGTCATGAGCAGGATGGGGAGCGGGTGTGTCGCGGTGAGCACGCTGCACTACGAACCCAGTGTCACGAGTTCGATTTCCGTTCATGGCCAACACCAGTGACGATTATTTGAACCGGTCCTGGCCCAACCCCTAGGTCGACTCGGCCTCAAATGTGTACCTGGTGCTGTGTGTAAACATCGCCGCTGGGGAGACGAAGATGGCCGGGCATTGGGTTGGCCACCCACCCCCTTGTGTGCCGTGTGCCAGCCTTCATAGGTGCTGCTCGCTTTACAGCCCTTGACCCAAACAGTCTGTTGCAGGCTACACGGGGGAAATCTTTGTCTTTTTGTCGTGAGCAGGACCTGAAGGCCGTGAACGAATACCTCAAGACCATCTTCCTCATCTTCCCCAACTACAACCTGGGCCACGGACTCATGGACCTGGCCTACAACGAGTACATCAACGAGTACTACATCAAGATCGGTGCGTGCGCCACCACTGCCGCCACAAGGGGCTTCAACAATGGCCGGGGGGTGGGAGACGAGAAACCCGCACACCAACGCTCAAACCGAGATTTCACCGGTGCTGGCACAGTGACAACGGCCACTGTGAACCACTGATCGATACACCCAGACCCAAGTCTTGAACCCAAGAATCTCAGAGGTGTTGGCTCAGCGTCTCTGACCTGGCCATTATGACCCCCCCCCACCCCCTGTGAAAGAGAGAGGGAGAGAACGCCAGACCCAGGGCTCGGACCCAGATGTTTATTGGTGCCGGCTCAATGTCTCTGACCCGTGTGTGTGTGCGACCCCTGTGTGTGTGTGTGCGACCCCTGTGTGTGTGTGTGTGCGCGACCCCTGTGTGTGTGTGTGTGCGTGACCACTGTGTGTGTGTGTGTGCGTGACCACTGTGTGTGTGTGTGTGCGACCCCTCTGTGTGTGTGTGTGTGTGCGCGACCCCTCTGTGTGTGTGTGTGTGCGCGACCCCTCTGTGTGTGTGTGTGTGCGCGACCCCTGTGTGTGTGTGTGCGTGACCCCTGTGTGTGTGTGCGTGACCCCTCTGTGTGGTGTGTGTGTGTGTGCGTGCATGACCCTTGTGTGTGTGTGTGTGTGTGCTCTCAGGTCAGGCCGACAAGGCCAAGTCCCCCTTCAAGTGGGACATCATCACCCGCAGCCTCGTCGCCATGGCGGTGGAGGGAGTCGTGGGCTTCTTCATCACCGTCATGTGCCAGTACAACTTCCTGCGCAAGCCCAGGTGAGGGGTCTGTCACGCACGTTACCCGGGCAACGGGGCTGCACGTTAATCCAGGTAACCTGGGTCGTGAAGCCCGCATGCCCAGCCACCGCATGCCCAAGCGGATTCTGTTCGGCCGGACAGAATTTAGAAACATTCCAAATTTCGACGTGGCGAAAAGCCGCTTCGTTGAGCGATCATTTGTGGCATGTCGCTTTTGAAAAAAAGCTACATTGCTCAGTGGGCCTTTCGATGATTTGAACCGGTCCTGGACCTCCCCTAGGTCGGCTCGGCCTCAAATTAGTACCCGGTACGACGTGTAAACATCGCCACTGGGGGAGAGGGCCCCCCTCCCCTCCTCGTGCGGCACGTCGGCTTTCACAGGCGCCGCAACTCCTCGCTGACGGCACTCGCACCAACGGCCTGTCAAGGTGAATTGGGGGGGACCGTTGTCTTGCAGGCGCGTGCCTGTGAGCAGCCAGCCCGTGGAGCGGGAGGACGTGGACGTCTCCGCGGAGAGGAGGCGCGTGCTGAGGGGCGACGCCGACTGCGACGTCCTCAAGGTGGACAACCTCACCAAGGTAGCTCCTCCTCAACGCGTCCCCCCCCTCTCCGTGCGCAACCTCCGGCCTCTCGCCCCGTGTGCCCCCCCCTACCCCGCCCTGCCCGCCCCCCTCTGACTGGCAGACCGCAGAGCGCCGGCTTCGTCTGTCATGGCGTCTTGCCCCTAGCGAGTGGTGGTGTGACCGGTGGTTGGTTTGTGAAAACTTATTTCGTTAGGACTGCTTGTTGTTGTTTATTAGTTTATTATCCTTGCCCCGCACCTCCGATTTAAGCACGGTTGGCCTAGTACGGTGCGAAATAAGTTCAACATACACACATACGTACGTACCCCTGCCATTAAGGCAGCGACCCCTTCCAAGGGGAGGGGCGTCCTCGGGTGATGTAAGGAGGCGCTATCGAGATGCTCGGTGTTCATGCGGCGACTTTTTGTAAAATGGAAAATGCTGAGATTGCTGTTGTTGTTATCATCGTTGTTACGAATGCCGTGGACTCCCGTCCAGGTGTACCACTCGCGCAAGATGGGCCGCATCCTGGCCGTGGACCGGTTGTGCGTGGGCGTGCGGCCCGGCGAGTGCTTCGGCCTCCTGGGAGTGAACGGCGCCGGCAAAACGACCACGTTCAAGATGCTGACGGGAGACGCCAGCGTCACGGGGGGGGAAGCCTTCCTCAACGGCCACAGGTGAGGACCCTCCTCCACTGCACCGCCACGCCACACGATCAGATCTCTCCGTGAGCTACCAACCCCATCACAGCAGGCGCTAGAGGAGGCCTTCCTCAACGGCCATAGGTGGGCCCCTCCTCATCACCGCCTACACCTCACCGCCCCACGCCCCACGATCTGATCTCTCCGTGAGCCATCAACTCCATCACAGCAGGAAGTAGGTTAGGAGGCCTTCTTCAAAGGCCCTAGGTAGGCTCCTACTCCTCACGGCCTCCACCACACTGCTGGTAATGCTGCTACTGCTCTGTTTGCTACGATGTGCATCTGCTGATGATCATAAAGATCTTGCTGCTATTGCTGATGATGACGATACTGCTTGTTAACATTGCTGCTGCTGATGCTGCTGCTGTGCCCTATGTTCTGCTGCTGCTGCTGCTGATAATGACGATACTGATTGTTAACATTGCTGCTGCTGATGATGACGATACTGATTGTTAACATTGCTGCTGCTGTGCCCTATGTTCCCAGCGTGCTGCGCGACCAGCACAAGGTGCAGCAGACCATCGGCTACTGCCCGCAGTTCGACGCGCTCTTCGACGAGCTGACTGCGCGCGAGCACCTGGAGCTGTACACACGCCTGCGCGGCATCCCCTGGAGGGACGAGAAGAGGGTGAGACTGCGGCATCATCGTCGTTGTTGTCAACATCGTTATCATCGCCATCGTCAGCGTCATCATTGTCGTCAACATCACCACCATTGTCGTCAATGTCACCACCGTCATCGTCGTCATTACCATCGTCACAGTCGTCAAAGTCACCGAGATATGACGCATGTTTGAACTGTGTCGACCATCATCAGGACGAGCCTGAAACAAATATAAAATATAAAAATGTGCCACACCTCCGATTAGCACAGTTACCTACGTATGGTGCCATGGAGGTGCTACATACAAACACAACCGCGAGAGCACCACGTGGAAATTAGATTTGTTAGGCTGTGCTGGCTGGTGGAGGGCTTTGATGACACGAATTTTAGCCAGATCGTTAGGTAGTGGCCTAACCCAATAAACGATCGTAAATCAAATCCCCGTTTGTATTGTATCAACAAATGTATAGAGACCCTGGCTATCGTGTGTGTGATGTGGGATGCGCTATTGGAGGGGACGCTATGATCAGATTCTATCAACAGAAGTCGCGCGGAGAGTTTGTTGCAAAAACTTACTGTATGGGTGGGACGATGTGCCGTGCCGGCCTTCACAGGTGCTACTCACTAACAGCACTTGCCCCAACAGTGTTAAGGCTGTGCCGGTGATCTTGTCTTTGTGTGTGTGTGCAGGTAGTGTAGCAGTTAGCGCGCCACGTTACAAACCCAGTGACCAGCGTTCGATTCCCGCTCACGGCCAACAACAGTGGCAAATATTCGAACCGGTCATGGGCCTCCCCTAGATCGGCTCGGCCTCAAATGACTACCTGGTGCGGTGTGTAAATATCGCCACAAGGGAAACAAAGGCGGCCGGGCGGGGTGCTGGCCACCCACTCCTTCGTGTGCCGTGCCGGCCTTCATAGGTGCTCGCTAACAGCACTTTCCCCAAAAGTCCGTGAAGGCTACACGGCGTGTGTTTGTCTTTGTGTGTGCGAGTGTGCAGGTAGTGAACTGGGCCCTGCAGAAGCTGGGCTTGACGAGCTACGCGGACAAACCGGCCGGCACCTACAGCGGCGGCAATAAGCGCAAGCTGTCTACCGCCATCGCGCTCATCGGATACCCGCCCCTCATCTTCCTGGTGCCACAGCACTGCCGCCATCGTCACCACCGTCACCGCCACAGCTAATGTTACTAAGACTACCACCACCATCATCATCATGACTGCCGCCCTCAACAGCATCGACAGCATTATTAACCTGGCTCGCACCCAGGATCTCAGCTGTATTGGCTCAGTGGGCCACCTCGGCCGAATCCGGTTTTAAAAGGAAATAAATTAATAAAGCAAGCGCCGCGGTGGCGAGATGTCAACCACCTGGCCGAGTGCGCAGGATGTCGTGGGTTCAATCCACACCATGACGTCCGCTGTATATTTGGAGTTTGCGTGTTTCCATCTCCCCGTGGTCGCGTGGAATTTTATCCGGGTCCTCTGGTCTCCCCCCCCACATGTAGAATCAACTTCATGCGTTCAGTGTGTTTGGCTGCTATAAATTTCCACACGACGATGGTAAGCCAGTTTAACATGGAGGCTTACTACGTGTTAAACTAGTTGGCTGTGTCGGGTGGTGGCGGGTTTAACGACACATTTATATATTTACGCGATCTAACTCTTATGGATGACAAGCCATTTTAGTGGAGCTATCATGTGACCAGGTCGCTTCTGAAAAAGAGCCACACAGCTCAGCGGTGCCTTAGCTGGTATATAGTGCTATCAGGTCCACTGACAGCTTCTGAAACGATGACGTCTTTGCGGACGCAAACCACGAGGCACACGAGGGGGGAGCGACCCCCCTCCCCCCTCCCGGCTGAGATGCTCGCGAGACGATCTCCCGTGCCGTCTCGTGGCAGGATGAGCCGACGACGGGCATGGACCCGAAGGCGCGGCGCTTCCTGTGGAACCTCATCCTGGACATCATCAAGACGGGCCGCTCCGTGGTGCTCACCTCCCACAGGTGCTCACCCCACCCCCCTGCCCTGTCTCCGTCTTGCGCGTAGCGGAATCGCTCCCTCATTTGCTCGCTCACTCGCTCGCCCGCCCGCTCACTCACTCGCCCACTCACTGTCTCTGCACAGCGCTGAGCTCAAATCCACAGCTGAATCACCCACTCGCTTGATTGCTCCCGTCTCTCCCCTGCCACCCACCCCCCCTCCTCGCAGCATGGAGGAGTGCGAGGCCCTCTGCACCAGGCTGGCCATCATGGTGAACGGTCACTTCAAGTGTCTGGGCAGTATCCAGCACCTGAAGAACAGGTGGGCAGCCCACCAAACCCCCCTCCCGGTTTTAGCCAGGACATTGCACAGCGGCGGATGACGATGACGGCGATGACAACCATAATGGCGACGATTTTGTTGCGTGCCGTGTCTCCACCCTCCCCCCCCCCCCCCCCCCCCCACGATGCAGGTTTGGCGACGGCTACATGATCACGATCCGCACGCGCTCCACGCTGCACGTCAAGGAGGTGCTGCGATTCTTCAGCCGCAGCTTCCCCGACGCCGTGCTCAAGGTGACGGCGACCTTCAGAGTAGAGCCGTAGACCCGCGTGGAGAAGCGTAGACTCGCACGGAGACCCAATTGTTGGTCGCACCGGGTCCTCACTGGGTGGTGGCTGCTGCCTTCCCATGGCACGGCTGCTTTCCAACATCTGATCTTCTATTCCCACACGTGTGCGGTGTGTGTGTGATACCCGCGCGTGTGCGGTGTGTGTGTGTGTGAGATACCCGCGCGTGTGCGGTGTGTGTGTGATACTTGCGGTGTGTGCTGTGTGTGTGTGTGTGTGATACCCGCGCGTGTGCGGTGTGTGTGTGATACTTGCGGTGTGTGCTGTGTGTGTGTGTGTGAGATACCCGCGCGTGTGCGGTGTGTGTGTGATACTTGCGGTGTGTGCTGTGTGTGTGTGTGTGTGATACCCGCGCGTGTGTGGTGTGTGCGGTGTGTGTGATACCCACGCGGCGCGTGTGCAGGAGAGGCACCACACCAAGGTGCAGTACCAGCTCAAGTCGGAGACCCTGTCGCTCGCCGCGGTCTTCACCAAGATGGAGCAGGTGCTGGACGTGCTGGGCGTGGAGGACTACTCCGTCAGCCAGACCACGCTCGACAACGTGAGAGTGTGTGTGTGTGTCGCTCTCTCGCGGGGAGTGCACGACGGCCGTGTCGGGGACGCTGAGGCCGTTTCGCTGAGATCCTGACAAAAGTCAGCAGAGGGCGGGTGAGCTTGGAATGTCACTGTGCGGTACGGTTACGGCGCCGTAGTGGTCACGGTGCGGTGGTCACGGTGCGGTGGTCACGGTGCGGTGGTCACGGTGCGGTGGTCACGGTGCGGTGGTCACGGTGCGGTGGTCACGGTGCGGTGGTCACGGTGCGGTGCGGTTGCGACCCGCAGGTGTTCGTGAACTTCGCCAAGAAGCAGAGCGACAATCTCGAGCAGCAGGAGAGCGGCTCGGGCCCCGTCGCGCCGGGCCGCGGCGCCGCAGGCTGCCTACCCTGCTGCCCCCCGTGCTGCCCCCCCTGCTGCCCCCCGTGCTGCCCACCGTTGTCGCCGGCCTGCCCGCCGCCGGCGCCGGCCTGGCTGTGCCGCGGCACCGCCCGCTCGGCGGAGCTGCAGGCGCTCATCCGGGAAGCGCCACGGCGGCAGCGGCGCGGCGATGACGACGAGGAGGAGGAGGAGGAGAGGGCCGGGCCGTGCGCCGGCGATGACGAGCAGCTGGTCAGCGGCGACGAGGACGGCCTCGTGAGCTTCGAGGAGGACAGGGTGAGCGTGGGATTCATTCAGCTGTGTAGCGACCAGAGGTCTGCTTATTATCATTCTTATTTCTACTTTACCAACGCTTTCTCGCTGAGGTTGACGGCCTTCATGAATCGGAATCTGTATGTAGACTGTAGGAGGAATCTGGACGTCCAGCAATGGGCGGGTTGGCAAGTTACCACCTCGTTCATCCCATCGGTTCTGTTCGTTCGTTTGTCCGCCCGTCCCGTGCGTAGCATGGGGGTCGCGGTACCTCCCGTAGACTTGATCCGACTCGAGTGAGACTCGCGTGTAAAGTGGTGCTGTGCTGTTAGGGACTTACCGTGGAGAAAACCGGACTCGCTGCCCGCAAGGGGTTAATGATAATGTCCAAACCAGAGCTCATTATATCATGGGACCTCCTTTGCCAGTACCAAAATATGAGAATAGTTTTTTTCCCCTTTTTTTCAGGCAACAAAGGAGGTCCTATGATGTAGATGCTCACCCGAGCTCGCATTACTCTGATAGTGGATTGTCTTTGTGCTGTATGCCTTTTGGTGTCCTAACACCATTTGAGACGAGGTTCAAAAGAAAGCTGTCTCTGGTGTGGACCAATCAGTTTCAAAGACAATGCAGATATCAGTTTTTTTTTGTTGCATTCTGACCACAAACATTGTGGTTAATGCAGACATGATTCCTTGTAAAAGGTGTTTTTTTGTTGCCAGAAAAAAGGGGAAAAAATTATATTCTCGGAGCTCATTATATTAACGTTCTCAAAAAAATATGCAAATGCATGTTGGCCTGATAGCCACCCACCAGCTTCCGTACCACTTGTTAACGAACTAAACTATTTTAAATTTACAAAGTGAGGCCCACTGAGCTATGTAGATATTTTTCTGAAGCGACCTGGCCAAGGATGATTAGCAGCAGCCAAATACTCTAAACGTCGATTCTAAATGTGGAGGGAAAAACCAGAGGACCTGGAGAAAAATTTACGGGGACCACATGCAAGCTCCAAATATACAGCAGCAGGCGTCCGGGTGGGGATCGGGCCCACGACCTCCTGTACACCAGGCGAGGTAGTTAACATCTCCTAGCCACCGTGGCAAGATGTTCTCACCCTGGAGAAAATTTGACCACAGGGGGTTAATGCCCACAAACCAGTGCTCGTGCTACCATCCGCAACTAAAATATGCAAACGAACATTGCCCTGACCAGCCACTCGCCAGACTCCGTACCGCCAGTTAAGCGCACAAGCGAGGGACCATCGCACGTCGGGAGCCTCAAGAGGACCTTCCCTCCTCATTCTCCCACTGGCTCCCCCCCCCAACCCCCCTCCGTCTCGCCGTAGGCTCAACTCGCGTTCAACACGGACACCATCTGCTGAGGCCGACAGCCTCCGCACCTCCCTCGCTGCCCTCCCTCACCCGTCCCTTCCCCTCCCCCGGCGGTGCGGAGTCGGCGGGGGAGGAGGGGGGGTGGGCTCGCGAGCGCCGGCACGTCGAAGGCGCTAGTGCCTGGAATCTCGCGCCACGCCGCCGGTGGAAAGGCGCTCCTTTCCTCGCCCCTCGACTGCCGGAGGAGGAGGAGGAGGGGAGCGCTCGGGAGCCGAACCCCCCCCCCCCCCCACTTCCCCGGCTCGCCAGGAGAATGGTGGTAACGGCAGAATGTGGCTGAATCTCCATGTGTCCCATCTCTAACGGGTGTGTTCCCCCACCCCTCGCACGCACGGGGTCTGTGTGGGTTCTTTTGTCCGACCGCTCCCATCTCCTCCCACGTGTATAAACTCTCATTAAACCACCTTCGTGCATAGAGGACGGCAGAGCCTTGGCAATCGTCGGTAGTGCCGGCTCGGCGCCGCGGCCGCTTTCCGCCTTTCCCGCTCCTCATCTGCGTTGACTCCTCCCGGCCGGCATGCAGGCGGTACCCACGCTTTACCCCACCGTGCACGACCTGCCGCTCGACTATCCGCGAAGCCTCCGCTGGGTGGTCCGAGGTAGTTGGGAGGGCACGGGGCGGGGGGGTCGGGGTTTAAGGAATGTGCGCCGTTGTTGTCTGCCGCTGGCGCTTGGGGGATTGTATCGAAGCGGGTCGCCTCTGAAATGCCGACTTCCTGCGTTGACCGGTACCCGTCCGTGTATCCAGGCGAGCGGTCACTGGGGTGTTGGGTGTGTCCAGTGCCCGCAACGCGTGCAGGCAGGGCTGAGAGATGACCCCAACGCGTTCTTGTGGTGGGTGGCAGCGCTGTTCAATTCTTTGCACGCATTTGGTGGGATAGGCTCGCACGTGTGCCGTGAGCCGTGAGCTTGCAAGGCGCTGCGCGTGGTGCATGCCGTTCGACCGGCCGTGTCCCCGACCCAGAGTAATGCAGCGTGTCCTCAATACCGGAGTAATTTAGTGGGGCGGGTGGAGGTGGGTTGCCCTCTGTATATCAATTTTTGTTCCCCTACAAACTCCCATTATTTTCATGAACACCAAATTCTGCCTCATTTTACAGCTCGTACTGTTCTTTACATTGCTCTGAATGTATACCGTAAAAGCAATCGCTGTGTGTGTATATATATGTGCGTGTGTGACACGTAGCACACCTTAAAAATGCGGCGCTCGAAACCCACTGGGAAAAACCCGCGCCAATTCTGGACCGTCCGCAGCCAACGCCAAAGCGTCCGCGAGGGAGCTTGGGGCCCTGTCGGCGCGCGGGGGCCATCCCCACCGGCACCCGGGGGGCTATCCCCGCCGGCGCCCAAAGGCCACCGGCACCTCGGGGCCGCGCTCCCCCCAGCGCAGCGGCGTGTGGAGGGGACGCGGCCCTTAATGACGAGGGCCAAGCGGCGCTCTGCTGCGCGCCCGTTGCGTTTGTGGGCTTCGGGGCTTTGCGCCTTCTACGCTTGGTTGCTGCAGAGACACCCCGCAGTGTGCGGGGGACGCCGTGGTTTAGCCGGGCGGCGGCAGGGGGGGTGGCGGCGGCGGTGGCCGTTAGGCCGCAAGCGGCGTGCGCCGCACTGTCTGATCTAGAGATGTGGAGGCAGCGGCAGCGGTGGGGGGCGGGGGCTGGTGGTGGATCACCGCGCACAGGTGGCTGTGTGAAACTCCCTTCCCCTTGGGCGTCAAGCAGGAGTCGTCACTTGGCTCTGCCTGGAGATGGCGGTTCAGCAACGATGTGCGCTCAACCCCGTTCTGTCTGCATGGGGTCGAGTGTTTACCCCTTCACACGCGCGGGTCTTTTTTCCGGGTGCTCTGGTTTCCTCCCACGCGTATAAACACTCCATCAATTGGCCGATAACACCGCATACAGAAGGCCGCAGAGCTTGGGCGATTGTTGGCGCCGGCTTGTTGTGCGTCTGCTGCCTTGTCTGTGGTTCGGCCTCGCACCTCCGAGTCGTCCTCTCGACGAGAGCGAGCGGATGCCGTGTGGCGGTGGCGCATTGCTACAACCTGACGTCATTATGGCTGCGGTTTATCCACTCCCGTCTTGTCCGAGGGCACGCGGTATCCCGCTGCTAACATACAGGGCCCACCCTGACCCTGAGTGAACCCCCAGTATGTTGAGAGGCAGGCGTGTTCTCTTGAGAGGGCCGAGCCCATCCTGGGATGCCGAGTGTTCGCAGCCGATGGGCTGGCCGTGTATCCGGGAATCCAGGTCGCCGTGACCGAGCACACGGAATGACTCTGTGAACGGATGATGACGTGAAATGACTTGCATGGCTTTGCGCTCTGCTGCACATTGCGTGGAATGCAAGCAAAGGTGGCGGGGACCGTTTGGTGGAGCCCTTCATGTAATGGGACGGTGGCGCTGTACGTGTGGCCTGTGATTAATAGGGCACAAGGTAGGGTCACGCGGCATGGGTGAGAGGTCACAAGGTGGAGTCACGTGGCATGGGTGACGTCATGCGGCATGGGTGAGGTCACAAGGTGGAGGTCACGCGGCATGGGTGACGTCACTGTTGGCACGAAGACGCTGCACGTTGTGGTAGGCGATGCGTACAACCCCTTGTGCATTTGTTAAAAGAATTACTCTGAGTCGTGAGTTCAAGAATCGATCGTCTCCGTGCAGCATGGCGTACAGCAAGCGGTTGATGGTGGAGTAACGGCTTGTGTCAGGCCTGCTAACTCAACAACAACAACTCACTCCACAATACGATAGGCCTCGACAGCCGTCCTTGCTGGGGGGGGAGGTCGGGGGGGGAGCATGTCGAGGTGAATCGTGTGACTAGCCGCGTGACTAGCCGCGTGGCGGTGCTGCACGTGGCTGCAGCTGTAATCCAGCACGGCGGAGTGCGGCGGCAGCAGCAGCGAGGGTTGACGGCTCGAGGCCACGTGCACGTGGCCTCGAGCCGCCACCTCTGCCCCGACACTGAGGAGTCGTTCTCCAGCTCTCTCGACGTACGAGCAACGGGTGGGCACGGGGACCGATCCTTGCGCTCGCCACCGCGCCTCTGGCAGTGTGTGGGGGGGGGGGGGGAATCACTCTAGCGGCTCTGCTGCAGCCTTGCAGCTGCCGTGCTGCAAGGCTGCGCCTGCCGTGCTGCAAGGCTGCGGCTGCCGTGCTGCAGCCGCATGCTGCAGGCTGCAAGGCTGCGCCTGCCGCGCTGCAAGGCTGCGGCTGCCGCGCTGCAAGGCTGCAGCTGCCGTGCTGCAGCCGCATGCTGCAGGCTGCAAGGCTGCGGCTGCCGTGCTGCAAGGCTGCAGCGGCTGTACCGCTCGGGGTGGGTAGGGGGGGGGAGAGATACCCACGCAGATTGCTATTCTGCCGGTGTCTTTCGGGCATCGATTCGTCCATTCATTCATTTGTCCATTGCTTCGCAAGCGAATGTGCGGGCTGGGTGGGTATTGGGTGGGGGGGGGGGGGTATGTACCATTTGCACTGCCTGCTGCTGTGATTGTGACTAGGGGGTGGGTTTGGGGTGGGGGGGTGCCCTGCCCCCACCGCCTCCGCCGTGTCCGATCTGGAACGGTTCTCGTCTGTGTCTTGGCGGCACGTTGTGGGTTTTTTCCGAAGTCTGCGACTCGTCGCTTTGGGAGGCTGCTGCTGCCGCCGCCGCTGCTGCTGTACCAGTGAAGTCCTTGCGCGTGCACGCGTGCGTGGATTTTATGAATAAAAAAAATCAACTCGACTGGGGAATGGTCTCTCTCTCTCTCTCGTCTTTACATTTGTGTGCCTCGTGTTAGTCGGGGTTAGCACGGTGGGCTACGTGCGGTGCGAAATATGTTCATACGTACACACTGCACCATAGACTCAAAACTGCCCATAGATTAAACACTGCCCATAGACTCAACACTGCCCATAGACTAAACACTGCCCATAGACTCAACACTGCCCATAGACTCAACACTGCCCATAGACTCAACACTGCCCATAGACTCAACACTGCCCATAGACTAACACTGTGTAGTGTATAGTAGTGTATAGCAGGGTCGGTTTCTTCATTAGGGCGATTGGGCGACGCACCACCAATGTCATTCAACCACAGAGTCACGCTAGCCGTCACTGTGCCTCTGGATATAGTCCAATCAGCGTCATGCTACGTTCTGTGGAGTACCGCCTCTTTTTGGGCGATTTCCCTCCAGCTGAGAATCGCCCTGAGTGGTCCCATAGACTTACATTCAAAGATGTTTTTTTTCGAACGGGGGCGCTGCAATGCATTCTCTATGGCTTCCGGGAGGGCTCGCACTAACGTGCTTACGTCATCATACGTGCTTACGTCATCATACGTAAGCACGTTTCATCCAACAATATAATTTGTCGCCACCTAGTGGAATCTTTAATAAAAGAAACTTAAGTGGTTTGTTTTAATAGTGAGTATAGAAACAAACAAGATGTATTGTAAGAGTCACTTTATTTTTCATTAATATTAAAGAAGTGAAGTTGCCTTTACATGCTTAAGCTGTTAATTTATCCATTGCATGGGTGGACCTTATCCTTATCAATCATCCAGACATTTGCCCCCCCTGAGAGATTTTGCAGGAGCCGCCACTGGTGTATAGTGTAGTGTATAGTAGTGTATAGTGTAGTGTATAGTGTTGTAAACTAGTACAGCACTAGTGTATAGTATAGTTGTGTAGTGTATTGTACTTTACTACGCGTCTCTTCGTACTCACTAACATGTACATTTTTTCTCTAACCCCTCCCTCTCTCTGCCTCCGCCCCCCTCTGTCTATTTAAGGCCACCCCACAGAGACGATCCCCCCTCTCTGTACCTGTGTTGCTCTCTCTATGTATCTTGGTGATATCTGTCTGCTTATATGTCTGTCTATAGTTTTCTGGTTAGATTTAATGTTGCTATTTCATTATACCTGATGATGATTGCTTGTGTTGCAATCGAAACGTCGTATGCTATTATTTAATTTATTATTTTATCTTTATACGAAAGAACCAAAGAATAAAGATGATTCCATTTCAGCAATTATCTCATCGACAGGGATTTGTACGTGGGGGCAACTGCAAAGTTAAGGCCTTGAGACAGGACTGAACCATATCGTTGGATAAGTAAATGTTAGTCCTGTTAACCGTTTGTTTATAAAATGTTCATTTTTAGTTGAGAGCAGGGGCGGTTTCTTCATTAGGGCGATTGGGCGACGCACCACCAATGTCATTCAACCACAGAGTCACGCTAGCCGTCACTGTGCCTCTGGATATAGTCCAATCAGCGTCATGTCACGTTCTGTGGAGTACCGCCTCTTTTTGGGCGATTTCCCTCCAGCTGAGAATCGCCCCGAGTGGCCCCATAGACTTACATTCAAAGATGTTTTTTTTTTCGAACGGGGGCGCTGCAATGCATTCTCTATGGCTTCCGGGAGGGCTCGCCCTAACGTGCTTACGTCATCATACGTAAGCACGTTTCATCCAACAATATAATTTGTGGCCACCTAGTGGAATCTTTAATAAAATAAACTTGAGTGGTTTGTTTTAATAGTGAGTATAGAAACAAACAAGATGTATTGTAAGAGTCCCTTTATTTTTCATTAATATTAAAGAAGTGAAGTTGCCTTTACATGCTTAAGCTGTTAATTTATCCATTGCATGGGTGGACCTTATCCTTATCAATCATCCAGACATTTGCCCCCCCTGAGAGATTTTGCAGGAGCCGCCACTGGTTGAGAGTTGTTCGTTAGTCTAGCAAATTTGTTCATTTCGGTCGTGTTAGTTTTGTTAAATACATTATCAGCTGATTGCTGTGTAATTGTGTCGATTATATTGCAGAGACACTGTTACTAATGTTTACGTGTAAGGACATTGGTGCTTTATAAATGTGACTTAGTTAACTTCTAGTGCGCTGTATTCTCTCTGTTTTAGCAATAATTCACGAGCTTTATGTAGTATTTGATTAGCTTTACGTGACCTAATGTGATGAGTTACTTTAACTGCGTGGCATTTACTTTGAATCTCTGCATCTTTTGAGAAGCGCCAGGTGAGGTTTACGTGACAACCCTTACGAGTTGGCTGTGTCGGGTGGTGGAGGGTTAAACGACACGCGTATATTTACGCGATCTAACCTCACAAAAACCTCTTATGGGTGATATTTGTCGCGAAAGCCGCCAACCACGTATTACACTGCGACCACGTGTTACACTGCGACCACGTGTTAAACTGCAGCAGTCGTGGTGTGAAGGCGGAGAGAAGGGGGGGGGGTCACGTGACGCACGCGGGCCGCCCGTTTTTGAGTTGACGGTTGTGGAGTCGGGTCACGTGACGAGGGGTCACTTAAAGCCTGGGTCAGAGCAGCGGGCCCGCGTGGTCCGGAGTGGCCATATACAGTATGCACGGTTAGAGGGTTTGTGGTTAGGGGTTAGAGTTTAAGGGTTAGCGGTTAGTGGTTATGGAGTTAGTGGTTAGAGTTTAAGGGTTAGGGGTTAGGGGGTTGGCGTTAGAGGGTTCAGGGTGCGGGTTAGAGGGTTAGGGTTTAGAGTTCGGGGGTTAGGGTTAAAGGGTTTAGGGATAGTTTTCGATTTAAAGCTTTCGTGACTGCAGGGATTCATCTTCTTGGTTCTTTCGGTAAAGTCACGTAGAGGGGAAGTAATACAATAATAAAAATAAAACATAATAAAACAATTCTCACGACGTTTCGGCCACAACGCAAGCAGCCGTTCTCAGGTGAAGAATGAGTCAATGCCAAGCTAGGAGCTTATATATAAGCTGCGTTGGAGGTGGAAGAAAGAGCGCCTTAACAAAAGAATGTGCATATGAAGAGGAATTTAGCATATACATGGGAAATGCGTAGGAGGTGGGCGGGGGGGTTTCAAAGTCATATTATGCCCATGCATTATGCAGGATCAACAGCACCAAGGGGGGGTGCAGGGATTAGCAGTAACAAAGGAAAGGAATGTTAATGATATGTAGCTGCAGTTACTCAACAACCACGTAGAAAACTAAAGTATAAACTACATAAAAAACTAAAGTATAAATTGCATAGCACCATCAGTATACTTACTATACTCTACACTAAGCTGAGTTACTAACAGCAAGTAATACATTACAATTCTACGTCATAAAAATTATATAATATGCTTCCATCTAAACTTTATTCTATTGTATCACACGAGCATATACCGTACTATATACTGCCAACATTAAATTATATACTGTATTGCTGTAAACCAACCTATACCTTATACATTTAATATAACACTATGTATTATTCTACCCACCCTAATGTGTGTCGAAATGGTTTATTACGTCCTTCCAATGATTGCTAAGCCAGAATCCATCTTCTCGGTTAAAATTGTCTCTGTGTTTGTATATTTGGATCGCCTCATGAACGAATCTCTCATGATAGCCAGATGGCTTGCAGAGAACCTCTGTCTTGGAGAAGTCAATATCATGTGAGCCCACTGAGTTGTAACAGTGATCTGCCACGGCTGAGGTGTTTGTCCTACTGTGTTTCAGGTCAGCTTTATGTTCACGGATGCGGTCCGAGACATGTCGTTTGGTTTCCCCACACATTAGGGTGGGTAGAATAATACATAGTGTTATATTAAATGTATAAGGTATAGGTTGGTTTACAGCAATACAGTATATAATTTAATGTTGGCAGTATATAGTACGGTATATGCTCGTGTGATACAATAGAATAAAGTTTAGATGGAAGCATATTATATAATTTTTATGACGTAGAATTGTAATGTATTACTTGCTGTTAGTAACTCAGCTTAGTGTAGAGTATAGTAAGTATACTGATGGTGCTATGCAATTTATACTTTAGTTTTTTATGTAGTTTATACTTTAGTTTTCTACGTGGTTGTTGAGTAACTGCAGCTACATATCATTAACATTCCTTTCCTTTGTTACTGCTAATCCCTGCACCCCCCCTTGGTGCTGTTGATCCTGCATAATGCATGGGCATAATATGACTTTGAAACCCCCCCGCCCACCTCCTACGCATTTTCCATGTATATGCTAAATTCCTCTTCATATGCACATTCTTTTGTTAAGGCGCTCTTTCTTCCACCTCCAACGCAGCTTATATATAAGCTCCTAGCTTGGCATTGACTCATTCTTCACCTGAGGACGGCTGCTTGCGTTGTGGCCGAAACGTCGTGAGAATTGTTTTATTATGTTTTATTTTTATTATTTTATTACTTCCCCTCTACGTGACTTTACCGAAAGAACCAAGAAGATTTAGGGATAGTGTTATGCGATTGGTATTAA